AATTCTCACAATTTTTTCCATGCATATTTCAGCATTTTTTTTTTTATTCCAAGCTTTTCCAAGTTGCTTATGACCTTTTTCCCCCCGCCCCAAATCACCTGAAGGCAGAACAAGAAGCAACGGATGGAAACTCACTAAGGGGAGAAGCAACCTAGAACTAAGGAGAAATTTCCTGACGGTGAAAAGAATTAATCAGAGGAACGAGTTGCCTCCAAAAGTTGTGGGTGCTCCATCACTGGAGCTTTTTTAAGAAGAGACAGGACAACCATTTGTCTGGAATGGTACAGGGTCTCCTGCCTGAGCTGGGGGTTGGACTAGAAGATCTCCAAGGTCCCTTCCAGCTCTGTTATTCTACTTATTCCCTTATCATCTGAACAGCCGCCCACACCAGTAAACCCAAATGGGACCTTCAAAAAACAGATTAGAGCCATTTGACACCCCCCCCCCCCAAGGCTACCTAGACCTTTTAAAACTCATCGTTATTTTAAAATCTGAGACCCTGAAAACATAAATGAATGTTTAAAGAAGTGATCCGGGCTGGTGTGCATCCGATGCTATGTTATTGTTGGTTCTCTTCTCTTCTCTTCTCTTCTCTTCTCTTCTCCTCCTCTCTCCTTCTCTCCTCTTGTCTTCCCTTTTTCCTTTCCTTTCCTTCATTTTTCTTTTCTCCCTTTCCTTCCTTTCCTTCCCTTTTTTCTTTTCTCCCTTTCCTTTTGTTCCTTTCCTTCCCTTCCCTTTCCTTCCCTTTTTTCTTCCTTTCCTTTCCTTCCCTTTTTTCTTACTTTCCTTCCCTTCTTTTTTCTTTTCTCCCTTTCCTTTCCTTCCCTTCTTTTTTTCTTTTCTCCCTTTCCTTTCCTTTCCTTCCTTTCCTTTCCTTCTCTTCTTTTTTCTCCCTTCCCTTCCCTTTTTTTCTCCCTTTCCTTTCCTTTCCTCTCCTCTCCTCTCCTCTCCTCTTTCTCTTTCTTTCTCCTTCATTTCCTTCTTTCCTCCCTCCCTCCCTCCCCTTTACTTCGTATCACATTTTACTACCACAATCCAAATCCTTCATATATATATATAATCCACATATATCATTGCCAGAGATCTGAAAGAAAGTGGAGTAACAAGGCCGCTTGCTCAGCCGAGCTGCAAACTGCAACGAGACTGAGCGAACAAGGGCAGGATTCAGCCCCTGCTAGCCCCATCCCATCCCTGGCGTGTCCCCTGACTGTTTACCAAGAGCTAACCGCAAAAATGCCAGCAATGCACCAGGCTGGTTCCTTCCTTCCTTCCAGCTCAGCTTACCTAAGAGGGAGAGCAAGGATCAAATGAATGAATGAGCGAATGAATCAACACGGATAAAATTAAGATCTGAGCAAGGCCATCAATCGTCTTTTGTGCATCGCGCCTGGTCTTCATTTGCAAGCCAGGGTTTTTATTATTTTTAGAGCAGCAAAGCGGGCCGAGGGTCAGCTTGTATGGAGCAGCCAAAATTAAACGCTATAATCCTTTTCCGGTTGACGCATTTGTAGCTGGCAAGAGCCCAGAACCCACGCGTGGGGCGTCCTGCTTAGCGTCCCTCTTGGAGGCCGTCATTTGGTCGGGGATGTCTTTGTACACAACAACTGGGTCTTATTTTCAGATAACACCATCTCAGCCACTTTTGGAGGATCCTTGTTCATTTAGTGACCGAAGTTACAACGGCTCGGGGAAAAAAGCAACTTATGTCCATTTTTCACACTTACGACCATTGCAGCACCCCCATGGTCACGTGATCAAAGTTCAGACGCTGGGCAACTGACTCCATATTTATGACGGGTGCAGAGTCCCGGGGTCAAGTGATCCCCTTTTGTGAACTTCTCTCTCTCTCTCTCTCTCTCTCTCTCTCTCTCTCTCTCTCTCTCTATCTATCTATCTATCTATCTATCTATCTATCTATCATTATCTATCGATCATTATCTATCTATATCTATCTATCTATCTATCTATCATCTATCTATCTATCTCTATTTACATCTATCATTACCTATCTATGTTCTATCTATCTATTATCTATCTTTGTCTATCTATCTATCTATCTATCTATCTATCATTATCTATCTATATCTATCATTATCTATCTATCATTATCTATCTATATCTATCTATCATCTATCTATCTATCTCTATCTACATCTATCATTACTATCTATCTATGTTCTATCTATGTTCTATCTATCTATCTATCTATCTATCTATCTATCTATCTATCTATCTATCTACCTACCTACCTACCTACCTACCTCCATCTATCTATCTATCTATCTATCTATCTATCTATCTATCTATCTATCTATCTATCTATCTATCATCTCTCTATCTCTCCATCCAAGTCTATCCCTTGTGATTTAAAAATTCAGCACCACATACCGTAGACTCCAAAAGGAAGTTAAAGACCTTCCCACCCTTAAAGAATGGAAAATTAAGATGTTCTGCCTCTTGAGGTATGCTCTGTGAACCGAAGGCCACCCTCCAGCTTTAAAAGTAATCATTTTGCAGGGGAATGTTTTTTGTTTAATCTTTTCTGGTAAATATAGATTAAAGAACTGTCATCCAATTCCCTCTGCAAAGATCATCTTTCTGAAGTTATTTTGTGCGGACCCTTTTTGGACATCCGCAGGACCGATGTTTTTAAAGCTGACAAAGACAACACATGGAAAAGTCAGGGGGAGAGTGGGAAAGGGTGGGAAACGAAGCTGGGAAAAAAAAATCTGTTGCACATCTGGTTTTGAACTTAGAGAGGCATTTAAGACAGACCCCAAGGAATGTGGGTACAAATTGTCCCAAGCAGACTGAACGGTGGGCATCTCCAGCTGTTGCCGTTCCTTCTCTCATCTGGAAAATGTTTAATTTTCCTGGAGGAGGCAGAACAGCTGGCCAAACTCAGCCACAAGTTAAAAACTGCAGTCTTGGGACACGGATAGGAAAGGATCGGGGGTGGCTGTGGGGAAATCTACCTTTTTTCCTCATCATTTTTCTGAGGGAGGAAAAGCAGCAACAGAAAAAAACCCGATAGATCAGATTTAAGCCCAATTTTATTCTCCCCGATTCAAAAAAATATATACCCTTTTTCTCCTCGTTCTTCTGAGGCCCTGTAGGAGGAAAAGCAGGAGCAGAAGAAACCAAGACATCAGATTTAAACCCAATTTTATTCTTTCCCCGTTTCTCCCCAGCAATAAAAATTAAACATCGGTTGACAGGGTGGTTCTTAAAGTTGTTGGTTAGGCTCAGAAAGTTGCTTTTTAGGCCAAACTGAGAGAATAGCATTGTGTGAGCCCAACCCCATGTGCGCACACACACAGAGACACAAAAATATTTCTTACAGCTAAATGATTAAGCCACCCAAGGACAAGTGAAACCACAAATGTCTCCACGACAGACAAACCCTGGAGAGGAATTTTTTTTCCAAACCACGCACGGAGTTATGGCTTTTCTCCTAAAAGTAAAAATAAGAATCTAGTCCTCATTGTGCAAAATAAATAGAGGCTTGTTAAATAAGCAGAAAGGAAGCCGCTGGCTTCTTACCGAGACAGACCAATGAAATGGGCACCCAAAGTCCAGACTAGCCAGTGGTAACTCTCCAGATGTTCAAAGTGGAGTTTTTCCCTCCTACTTGGAGACCACAAGGATAGAATTTGGCAGTTTCTAAATGCCAAATTGGTAGAAAATAAAAATATCCCTTGCTAAGGAGTCACTGAATCATTGAATCTAACCGTTGGAAAGGATCTTGAGATCATCTAGCCCAACCCCCAAGGATGAGCGCTTATAGATCTGAAGATGCTAGCCAGCCACTAAAGCAGATGCCCAAACATAGCAAATTTTCTTCAAAGTACCTTCAATCATTGCAACAGACAGGACATAGCTACCCTGCCCCACCCTGAACAGATTTCCCCCCCTCCGTCAATCCCTTTCCCCCCCATTCCATTTTCTTGTGTGGTCTTCCCATCTGGCCCTGTCATCAATTCGCACAGTTGTGAGGAGAGTACCAGGGTGGGGATAGCTGTACCTTGACATGATTAAAAGAGAGAGAACGATAGAGAAAAAAAGCTAATAAATATATAAATAAACATTATTCATAACATCTGGATTGGAAAATTCCCCTACATTCCAAGAACTAGCAGCCACCAGGAAAAGAAAGGAAGATGGATGGATGGATGGATGGATGGATGGATGGATGGATGGATGGAAGGAAGGAAGGAAGGAAGGAAGGAGAAAGAAGGGAGGGAGGGAGGGAGGGAGGAAAGAAAGAGAAAGAAAGAAAGAAAGAAAGAAAGAAAGAAAGAAAGAGGAGATAGGAGAGAAAGAAAGAAAGAAAGAAAGAAAGAAAGAAAAAAAGAAAGAAAGAAAGAAAGAACAGGAGGGAGGGGAAGGAAGGAAGGAAGGAAGGAAGGAAGGAAGGAAAGGGAGAACACAAGCAGTCCTCGACTTACGACGACAATTGGGACCAGAATTTCCATTGCTAAGCAGGGCAGCTGTGAAACAGCCCAATCTTACAACCTTTTTTTTGCCACAGTTGCTAAATGAATCACACAGTCACTAAGCGAATCGAGCTTCCCCCACTGATTTCACTGGTCGGGAGCCTGCTGGGAAGTTCGCAAGTGCCGATCACGTCACTCCGGCATGCTGCCCCCTTCATTTAAATACACGCCGGTTGCCGAGCGCCCGAATTTTGATCACGTGACCATGAGGATGCTGGGACGGTCATTAAGCGTGAGGACTGGGTCATACGTCGCTTCTTTTCAGGGCTGCCGCAACGCTGAACGGCCACTCAGCAAATGGTTGTAAGTCGAGAACTGTCTGCGAGGAGTAAAGAGGATCGATTCGCTTTGAAAACGGCCGTCCAGCTTCGCTCCAAGCATCCGGCATCGGATCCCCTTTGCCTTCCACCTCTTGCGCAGCCAGTCCAGGATTGTGCCTCAGTGTCCCCTCCGCAAAAAGATACTCTGCGGTTGTCCCAAACAGGACACGATGGGGCGACACCATCACAGCTGTTCTTCCGTCTGGAACAAGCTGTTGGTGGTTCCGGAATGTCCCGAACTCGCCTCTCCGTCCAGGATGTTATCCAAGGATCCGTGCTGAACAGGTTTGGCTTTCCGTACGTAGAAACGCCAAAGCAGGGCAGAGACACCCGCGAGGACGAGAGCAGAGGCCAAGCCAACCGCGATGTAGACATAGGTCCTCTGACGAGTCGGGGTTCGAACCCGCCGGCAGGGCCCGTGTTCTCGAACGCCCTCATCCGTTGGGCTGGACCCAGCTCGGTTGGCCGCAACGACGCAGAAGAGATATTCGGTGCCGGGGACGAGGCCGGGGACCACCGTGAAGCGGACGGTGCTGTTTAGTGGGGGCCCTGAAATGAAGTCCTCGCCGAGGAGTTGGTACTTCAGGTAGTAATTGTGGACCGTGGAAGAAGGGGCGCACCAGTGCAAGCTGGCTCTGGTCTCGCTGACGTGGACAGCTCGTAAACGGGGAGGGTCCGGGGCCACGTCGGGTCCGGTGACACCAGGACACAAACATCTGCTCAGCTGGCTGAGTTCCACGCAAGGCACCTGGAGGTGTTTGCAGCGGTCGTAGGCGCAAAAGGGGGTCAGCGGCCCCGGGGAGCTGGAACTGGGGGTCTTGGTGGTTGAAAAGCTGTTGTAATAATCTTCGTAGTAGTCTTCGTAATCGTCGGACGCCGCCGGAGAGCCTTTCTCCGGTCCGGAGAGCGGGGTATGGCTGCCCGACGGGTGAGGGGTGTATTGGCCTTGGAGGGGTTTGGGCAAGGGGTGGCCCATGCTGGTCGGGGACCCCCGGGGGCAGAGCATCAGGAGGCCACAAGCCATGATGGGGAAGAGCGTCCAAGCTTGCATGGCGCCTAGGGAGAAGACGACGAAAGAGGGGACAAAAGGCACAGTTGATATACAGGCATTACTTGCAACAATTCGTTTAGCGACCGTTTGACGTGACCGCAGCCCTGATTAAAGTGGCTGTCAGCCTGGGCTTTGGGTTTATGACCGTTGTAGCATCTGCGTGGTCACAGGATCAAAAGGCGGACGCTTGGCAACTGGCATGTGTTTACAACGATGGCAGCTTCTGAACAACGTCAGTGGGGGGAGCTGGGTTTATTTAACGACCACAGAATTCACTTAACAACTGCGGTGATTTGCTTAACAACCAAGCTCAGACAGCATCAAGGCCAATTCCTCCTCCTCCTCCTCCTCCTCCTTCCCCACAGAAACCTCTCTCTCTTCTAGCACTGATGATGTTACCTAGTTTGGTCATGAAATGTCTGCAAAAAACAGCCAAGCTCAGACAGCACTAAGGACCCCACAGTCCTCCTCCTCCTCCTCCTCCTCCTCCCCCCCCCATTCCTCCCATTCTCTTTCACCTTCTCTCCCCAACCCCCCCTCCCTTCCAGCACTGATGATATTACCTAGCTGGGTCAAGAAACGTCTGCAAAAAGGCCGTACAATTGGCTGCGATTCACTTAACAACTCCTTTGCCTAACTAAGGAAATTCCAGACCCAACTGTGGCTGTTAAGTCGAGGACTCCCTGTAATGCCGAAGGCTTTTTCCAACTATCCCTGCGGGAGACTTTCAAATCCGGGCTTCACCACTTGGATAATGGTCGCAAGGTGCCCAACTCATCGGGACAAGCAACCGAATTAACCGGCAACAGCGAGATGATGTCTCACCTGTCGTGTTCGGCGCTATCCGGCTCAAATTTCAGCGAAGGATAATTCGGGATGCAAGCAGGAGCGAAGGAATCGAATCCAGGAATCCAGGAAGAAGCTGTCCAGCATTAGGGGGATCCCCCTCTCTGTAAAAATACAGGAAAAAAATGAGCTGTTCTCCCAAACTCTGTTGACCATCACCTTCCCAGCTGGGTCACCAGCAGCTAAGTCAGGATTTTGTCCTCCCTTTACAAGGCACGGAGGCCGACTGTGCTAGGACTCGCTTCCAGAGAAAAACTTTATATCTTACTCATCCAATATCTTACTCATCCCTCCTCCCCTCCCCTTTTTACAAGCGGGTCCAGCCAGTGGGAAGCAGGGAAAGGAGAGCCAAGGGGTGGGTTTTCTGTTTTGCATTTGAAAAAAAAAAATTATTGGCCTTGCCTCCAAAGCCCCTGCCCACTGCAGGTGTTCGGGCAAAGAAACCAAAGCATGCCTTATAAGGACTGTTTGCACACTCCCGTCTGCCGTGAATCTGCTCGGGCAAAAAAAACAAATTAAAAAAACCCAAAAACTTCCGCCTCCAGAGGTTGTGGGTGCTCCATCACTGGAAGTTTTAAAGAAGAGATTGGACACCCTCTTGCCTCAAATGGTCTAGGGTTTCCTGCCTGAGCAGGGGGTTGGACTAGATGACCTCCGAGGTCCCTTCCGATTCTGTTCTTCTGTTAAATAAACTGAAGACACTTAATTCGGGGACCCTTAATTAGGGGGCTGGAGGCTAAAACATATGAAGAACGGTTGCTGGAACTGGGCATGGCTAGTCCAGTGAAGAGAAGGACCAGGGAAGACAAGATAGCGGTGTTCCAATATTTGAGGGGGGGGGGGGATCAACCTATTTTCCAAAGCACCTGAAGGCCAGACAAGGAATAACGGATGGAAACTGATCAAGGAAATAAGATATAGAAATAAGGAGAAACTTCCTGACAGTGAGAACAATCAACCAGTGGAACAGGAGTTGCCTTCAGAAGTTGTGGGAGTTTCATCACTGGAAGCTTTCAAGAACAGACTGGACTGCCATCTGTCAGAAATGGTGTAGGGTCTCCTGCTTGGGCGGGGGGGGGGTTGGACTAGATGACCTCCAAGGTCCCTTCCAACTCTGTTTAACCCAGAGCTGTGAAAAAACAAGGCAGACAGAGAGAAGGAAGAAAAGGGAGGGGCACTTGAAAAAAAACAACAACAACAACAGGATTTTGGGACCAGCAGCCAAGATTCATCCCTGACAGACAGATTTCCTGACAAACTCAACCTGGATCAGGGATTCCACCCAGGCTCCAGTCATTCTGTTGCCGATTCATCAGACAGACATCCTCTCAAGAGGGAAAACATCTAATTTCAGGCGCGACGTAACTTTATTCACTGGCCCATCCGCTCTGGAGCACGGGTGTTTGCGCCCGTTTTACAGACGGAAGGAGCAAGGCTGAGGTCAGACAAACTGGTCAGTTCGTCCGCCCTTTTCCCCCAAATCTGATTGCTGGGTTTTTTGGAGGGAAACTCCCAGAATTCCCCAGCGAGCGTGCTTTAGGTGGGTGGACTTCAACTCCCAGAATTCCCCAACCAGCATGCTTTAATCTGGGTGGACTTCAACTCCCAGAATTCCCCAGCCAGCATGCTTTAATCTGGGTGGATTTACACTCCCAGAATTCCCCAGCCAGCCTGCTTTAAGATGGGTGGACTTCAACTCCCAGAATTCCCCAGCCAGCATGCTTTAATCTGGGTGGATTTACACTCCCAGAATTCCCCAGCCAGCCTGCTTTAAAATGGGTGGATTGCCTCTGAACAGGGCATGATCAATTTAACAACTGCCTCGCTTAGTCCCGATTATGGCCGCAAATTGAATGTATTTCTTGGATCCTTTTTACAAGAAAGTGGCATATTAAATAGTCAATCCATTTCTTTTCCCACGGAAAAAGTGCTTTAATTTTTATTTAATTATTCTTGCTTTGACCTGCTCCTGAAAGCCAGAAGCAGGAAAATTTCTCTCTGACTCTTCCTTAGGGAGTCCTCATAAAACTGAATATTGGCAATGAAAAAAAAATTGTTTACCCCAAAAGTCTCATTCAATGTTTGCTGATTTTATCCATTTGTTTCCCCGCCTGTAGCAACCTGGTTGCTAAAATAAACAGATCTAAATTCTTCAGCCGAGTTCTCTTAAATATTTTCTTGCGTTTATTAAATGCTTCCTTCATCCACCCTGGAAAAAAAATCCATGAAAATTGCAGGTGGGACGGGGCTGACACAAAAGACGAATTCATCCAGGGAGTCAGTTTTAAAACCAGCTACCCAAATACATTTTTTTTTTCTTTTGCTTTTTCCAAAACACCAAATTGTCATCCGGCAGCTGAGCCATTTCTATTTTCTGGCAGACGTTTCTCCAGTTAGCAAAAATATCTTGGATTTAATTCACGCTGGTCCAAAGGATCTTTTTACATTGTTCCTGGAAATGTTTTTTGCTGGGAACATCTCGTGCTGAGTCAGAACATCGTGTTAGTGACTCAGCGTAAATTGAAAAAAAAAAGGCTTTTAAGGAAAATCTCATTTCCTTTCGCCTGGAAATAATTATGGGGGAACTGTTATTTGGGGCCTTGGGTGATCCTTAAATATTCGGACACGAATTATGATGTATATCTGTGCTATCATGTTTAGCATTGCGGTCCAAAGTCTCAAAGATTATGTATTAAATGTTCCTTAAATATTTATTTTATTAAACCAAGCTGAAGCCAGCTCAGTTGTCAATACAAGAATGTACAGGTAGTCTCTGATGACCAAAATTGTGCCCAAAATTTATGTCGCTAAACAAGACATTGGTCAAGTGAATTTTGCCCCGTTTTACGACCTTGCTGGCCACAGTTTTGAGGTAAATCACTGCAGTTGTTAAGTTAGCAACATGTTTGTGAAGTGAATCTGGCTTCCCCATTGATTTTGCCTGTCGCAAGGTCGCAAAAGGACGTGACCCGGGGACACTGCGACCGTCATAACTATGAGTCATTTGCCCAAGCATCTGAATGTAAATCACATGACCAATAGTCCTAAGTGTGAAAAAACAGTCATAAGTCACTTTTTTTCAGTGCCGTTGGGACTCTGAACGGTCACTAAATGGACTGTTGTTAAGCTGAGGGCTACCTGTAATGTGAATAAAGGCAGTCCTCAACCTACGACCACAATCAGGCCACGATTTCCATTTCTAAGCAAGGCAAGGCCGTTTTTAAGCAAGTCTGGCTTGACAAGTCTTTTTTTCCCTCACGGTTGTTAAGTAAATCTCTCTAGTTCTTAAGTAAACCAAGCGGTCGTTAAGCGAATCTGCCTTTCCTTTTTGGACACCTAGGCGGTCGTTAAGCGAATCTGCCTTTCCTTGTCGGTCACAGCAGCTGGGAAGGCCGCAAATAGCGATCATGTGGCCTCAAGACACAGCAACCATTTTAAATACGTTTTCCAGTGCCCAAGTTTTGATCATGTGATCGTGGGGAATGCTGTGACGGTCATAAGTGTGAGGACTTATAGGTCACTTTTTCCCCCCCGTTTGCTTGCAACTTTGAACAGTCTGGTTGTTAAGTCGAGGATTTAACTCATCATGGAGAAATGTTTTAAAAAAAAACTAGCTAAGGTCTGGCGGATCGTGACACAACGGCGGTTAAACTGACTAACGCACATCAATGTGTGGCTGGCAAAAGAGGTGTGATTACACACACGTCCCTGATGGGTGGGGAGGCCTGGGGGTCAGATCCAAGCCAAAGTTGGCTAATATAGAGTTTATTTGCGGTTTGTGGAATGCAGACGCTTCTCCTTCCCAGAAATGGAGGGTGGAGAACCGGACAGAGATGGATCACTCCCCACTCCAAGCTAAATTGAAAAAAAATAGCCGGCTGGGAGGGATCCTGTGTCCTCATAAGCTGACTATTAATAGGATTAAAAAGAAAAAATTTAGACCAAGGAATCTAGAAGACCATCTGCGCAAAATTCCAGGACCGGAAAGAATTAAAATTTGCCGTTCAAGTTATGCAGAATTAGATTTTTTTTTTAAAAAAAAAATAAAATTATTCGGGTTGAATCCTGCAAGGAATTTTCTCCAAATCTGGGTCAATTCAGATTTCAGAACAAACATTTCCTTGATTATTGTTTTTAAATCCCTTTCTCCCAAGTCATCCTCTCAGTGCTGAGGACTAGAAACTTGTCTTTCTGTCCAAACGTTTTAAAACGTCGGCATTTCCGGAGGGCCCAGGGCAGCTGGAGTGTCTTACGCAGGGGCTTCTCTGTGAACTGCTTAAAACCCAGAAGAGGTTTCTGTTTGCTTTCTGCAAACACAGGTTTTGTGGTCTTTGACGGCCGTTGACCAATTAGTCAGCGAGCTCAGAGGATTTACAATCGCATTCCTGAGGTGGGGAAAAAAAAAAATCCGGTAGCGGCATCGTCAGAATTGACTAGGCTGAAAATACCAGCTTACATTTGCACTGTGGAAAAGTAAATATATTGTTCTTTTTTTCTTCCTTTGCGGCTCCAAGGTTGTGCTAAAATAAACTCCCGTAAAAAGGAGGGCAAAATTGTCCAAATGCAGTTTGCCTGGGGTTAAATTCACACCACACAAGTCACCGCTTAGGGCAGGGTGCGCTCCCAAACCCAAATCCTGCATACTTTCCTACTTAGGTCAGAAAATGGAGCAAAGTGTGGTTTTTAAGCCAGTGTCGTCTAGTTGGTTAAGTATCAGGAGAAACCAGGAGACGGTGAGTTCTAGTCCTGCCTTGGGTACGAAAGCCAGATTGGCAACTTTGGGCCAATGACTAGGAGAGGTGAGTTCTAGTCCTGCCTTAGGCATGAAAGCCCATTGGGTGACTTTGGGCCAATCACCGGGAGAGGTGAGTTCTAGTCCTGCCTTAGGCACGAAAGCCCACTGGGTGACTTTGGGCCAATCACCGGGAGAGGTGAGTTCTAGTCCTGCCTTAGGCATGAAAGCCCACTGGGTGACTTTGGGCCAATCACCGGGAGAGGTGAGTTCTAGTCCTGCCTTAGGCATGAAAGCCCACTGGGTGACTTTGGGCCAATCACCAGGAGACGGTGAGTTCTAGTCCTGCCTTAGACATGAAAGCCAAAGTTCACTCCTGTGCCTGGAGGGAGCAACCATCACAACTTCAAATGATAAGCGGCCCCCAGCAGGTAGATCCGGCGTAACTCAAGGACTACTGTCGTAACTTGAGGACTCCCGAATACCTCAAGCGCCAACTTCCTTCTTCGGAGAAAGGAGGTTTTCGATCCCGAGATGGGCAAGCAGGCCGTTGGGTTGAGTGACTCGCCGTTCAACTTTTATTTAACTTAACAGTGTTTTGTGGGTACGGAGAAGGGACTGGAATGTAAACCTAAGCAGGGAGTAAAATGCAGCCCTCGGGAGAGCAAGGCCTGCGGTGGGCTGCTGGGGTGTGTGTGTCACGCGGCAGGACTCAAACTCGTGACCCATCAGGAACTTGAGCAGGTACTTCTCTGGCGGACCTCCGAGCTGAGAGAGAGGGTCCGGGTTACAGGGGGCAGGATATCCGAGCTGTTTCCCTCTTGGGAAGGGGCTGGAAGGTTGACCTCAGAGAGCAGGGGAATCTCGTCCGGAGAGTCGTATTCTGCCTCTGTCAAAACAGGATAACCCCCCCCCAAAAAAATTAGGATCTGATCTAAAGGGGACATGATCGGTGTTGAAACAGAGACCCCCCCCAAATTGTGTAAGTAAAGGGGTTTCCTGACACGCCATACGGATATAAAGCTGGATTTTGAAGGACCAAACGAATCTGAAAACACGGGTAATTTGGGGTGGGGAAGATTTTTAAAGATACAGGCAATCCTCGAATTACGAACATTTACTTAGTGACTGCTCAGAGTTACAACGGCACAGGAAAAAAGGGACTTGCAACCAGTCCTCGGACTTACGACCGTTGCAGCATCCCACAGACCCCCGATCAAAATCCGGACGCTTGGCCACCGGTCTGCGTCTACGACCATTGCATTCTCTCTGGATCAGGCGATCGTCATCGGCAACCTTTTGACAAGCGAAGTCCGCGGGAGAAGCAGGACTCGCTTAACGACTGCCCGATTCGCTTAGCGACGGCAGTAATTTGCTTAACCACCGCGCCAAAAAAAAAAAAAAGCTTGTATAAAAACCAGACGGGACTCATTGAAACTGGTTACAAGGCCGGTCGTTAACTCGCTTTTTTTCCCCCACACAGTGACTTTGAACAGTCGCAAAACTAAACGGTCGTAACTCGAGGTCTACCTGTAGAAAAGGAAGCATAAAGGAGGCCTTGCAAAAGAGCGAGTCACCTTCGTTTGAGCCGGCGCCCACGGTGGGTTCTGTCCCCAAATCGGATTTTTCAAGACTGCTTTTCTTCACCTCCGTCGTGGACGCTGCAGAAGATCAGAGGGAATAAAATTGAGAAAAGGAAAGAAATTCTAAATGAATGGTTTGTAACTCTTAGGACTACCTGCAGATCAAAATAAAAGACTAAGGTGAGAAAAAGCCCTTGTTTTACAGCTAGTCCTCAACATAATTGAGCCCAATATATCTGTTGCTAAGGGAGACAGTGGTTAGATCAATTTTGCTCCGTTTTACGGCTTTTCTTGTCACGGTTGCTAAGGGAATCGCTGCCGTTGTGAAATTACTAACACGGTTGTTAAGTGAAACTGGCTTCCCCCATTGATTTTGGGGTCACAAAGGGGGATCACGTGACCCCAAGACACTGCAACGGTCATAAATATGAGTCAGTTGCCAAACATCCGAATTTTGATCACGTGATTACGGGAATGCTGCAACCATCGTATGAAAACCGGTCATCCATCATTTTTTTTCAGCGCCGTTGTAATTTTGAGCGGTCACTAAATGAATCGTTGTAAGCCGAGGACTTCCTGAATTCAGTGCTTGCCGCTCAGAGCAACAGGGAAATCTGCAACTCAATAAAATAAATTGGCAAACGAGCTGATTTATTCGTGACTAACTAATAAATCAGCTCGTTTGCCAATTTATTTTATGACTAACACGGTTGTTAAGCGAATATGGCATTCCCCCCTTGACTTTGCTTGTGAAAAGGTCGCAAAAGGGGATCACCTGATCCCCGGAACTCTGCGACCGTCGTAAAGAAGAGTCAGTTGCCAAGCGTCTGAATTTTGATCACGTGATGCTGCAAACGGTCGTAAAACGGTCCTCAGTCGCTTTTTTTCCAGTGCCGTCGTAACTTTGAACGGTCACTAATGAACTGCTGCTAAGTCGGGGACTATCTGCACTAAAGGCAGCCAGGAAAGAGCCAGGAAATCGGACTGTAAGACGGCTGGGATGTTTGGACAGATCCCGGCCAACAATTTTATCGTTATCCAGGATGAATTTAGATTTTAGAGTCAGCCCGGTTGAGAATTTAAAATCAACGTACCTTCTTTGGATGATTTCTCTCCTTCAGCAACTCCGACATCTTCTGGCTCCAGCGGAGAAATGTCTTCTTCTACCTCGCCTCCTGGGAAAAAAAAAGCCAGAAAAAGCTGATTACAGGTAGTCCTCGAACTTACGACCGTTCCTTTAGTGACTGTTCCACGTGACAAACGGCATGGCAAAGCCAAGATCCTCTTGTGTGATCTTAAGAGGGAGTCCTGATTTACGGTGACAACTGAGGCCCACATTTCTGTGGCTAAGCAGTTGTTAAGTGAGCAGGGCCCCATTTTACGACATCTCTGGCCACAGTTGTTAAGTGAATTAGTAGTAACACGGTTGTTAAGTGAAACTGGCTTTCCCCATTGACTTTGCTTGTCAGAAGGTTGCAAAAGGGGATCGCGTGGCCCCAGGACGCTGCAACCGTCGTAAATACGAGTCAGTTGTCAAATTTTGATCACGTGACCAGGGGGATGCTGCGACAGTTGTGTGAAAATGGTTATATAAGTCGCTTTTTTCCAGTGCCATTGTAAATTTGAACTGTCACTAAACGAAGCCGAGGGCTGCCTCTATAGTTTCCAACACGTATACAAACACGAACACGCAGAATTTTTGCATATGTACACATTCGAACTAGGCTGTGATGTTTCTCTGTGTCATACCTGTGTGTGTGTGGGTGGGTATATCCACAATGGTATTTTTTATTTTTTGAGAACTGAATGCAACGAAATTTCATTTTAATCCATGCCAATTAGTGTACGTTTAAAGTGATAATAATGTTTTTTTTTAAATTCTATTCTGTCTTCTTTCTTTGGTGACTGAACTGAGTGTTGCGACTCTCGGATCACAACTGGGCTCACCTTCTTTAGGAAACACAACTTGCCGACGTGAATCGTCCAAAGCTTGCATTGGCCCAGATTTCTCCCTGCCTGGGATCTGTTTGGAAATAAAAAAAAAAACAAAACAAAACAGAAAGTGATTGATTATTTCATTGTGACTTGGTCCAGCAATGGTAGATGCCTACTTGTTGAGTTTGTGAAGGTCTAATTTGGGTAGTCCTCAACATAAGACAGTAATGGAAACTGCCTTTTGCAATTGACCAATGGTGATTTTTGCCAATGCTGATGGTGTTCAGTTATTATTCTGGTTTGTGGCACAATCAGGCAGATGTTTAGATGGCATTTGGCCTCTTGAGACATTCCCAAGGAGCTGGGATAGTCAGATGTGGATGTTTGAAGGGGTCAAAGGTCTCTTTGCAGGATGACAGCCGTTCCCTTTTGAAATCGACTGAGGGAGATTTTGCCAATGCCCATCAGTCAACTGCAAAAGGCAGCTTTACCTGGAAGAGCTGACGTTATCAATTATGATGATCAAATGTATTTAACAGAATAACAGAGTTGGAAGGGAGCTTGGAGGTCTTCTAGTCCAACCCCCCTGCTCAAGCAGGACATGCCACTGTACCATTCCAGACAAGTGACTCTCCAATCTCCAGTGATGAAGAACCCACAACTTCTGGAGGCAGGTTGTTCCACTGATCAATTGTTTTCACTGCCAGGAAATTTCTCCTTAATTCCAGATTGCTTCTCTCCTTGATAGGTTTCTATCCGTTGCTTCTGGTCCTGCCTTCTGGGGCTTTGGAGAATAAGTTGACCCTCCTCTTCTTTGTGGCAGTCCCTCAGATATTGGAAGATGGTCTCACACCACCCCTAGTCCTTCTTTTCACTAGACTAGACAAACCCAATTCCTGCAATCGTTCTTCGTGTGTTTTAGCCTCATATTTTTAGATAATTTATTTGCTGCCTATCTCACGATAAATAAATGATCCATTATCATGCCCAACGTCAGAGGCCTTTCCCGAGCCTCGAATCTGGAGGAGCAGGTAAAACGTGCCAACTTGTTCACAACCCCTCAGCTACAAAGTTGTGCAGTCTCTGTGTGCGTGCGTGTGACACAGCAGACAAAAGAAAATGCTCCCCCCCCCAAAACACACCTGTACAGAAAGAGTTTCTTTAGGCCACAGACTGCCCCAGATCCACTGCAAGTAGCTGAAAAGGACGATGACGCTCAGGAACATGAAGTTGCTGGCCACTCCCAAAATGGCCGAAGTCACAGGGAAATTGTACAGGATATACCTGCAGGGGCCAAAGAGAAGAAAAAATGGTTGGTTAAGAATTCACGCTCATGTGTGTTGGTATGTTGATCCTTAAATTCAGCCTTGGGTGTTGGATTTTGCTTTTGTTGAATGGAAAGGTTCTCCTGCAGAATGAAATAATAGAATAGAATAGAATAGAATAGAATAGAATAGAATAGAATAGAATAGAATAGAATAGAATATGGAAAATGGAATAGAATAGAATAGAATAGAATAGAATAGAATAGAATAGAATAGAATAGAAAATGGAAAATGGAATAGAATAGAATAGAATAGAATAGAATAGAATAGAATAGAATAGAATAATGGAAAATGGAATATAGAATAGAATAGAATAGAATAGGAGAATGGAGAATGGAGAATGGAATGGAATCGAATCGAATAGAATAGAATAATGGAAAATGGAATATAGAATATAATAGAATAGAATAGGAGAATGGAGAATGGAGAATGGAATGGAATGGAATGGAATCGAATAGAACAGAATAGGAGAATGGAATAGAATAGAATAGAATAGAATAGAATAGAATAGAATAGAATAGAATAGAATAGAAGAATGGAAAATGGAATAGAAGAATAGAATAGAAGAGAATAGAAGAGAAGAGAAGAGAAGAGAAGAGAAGAGAAGAGAATGGAAAATGGAATACAGAATAGAATAGAATAATAATAGAATAGAATAGACTAGAATAGAAAATGGAAAATGGAAAATAGAAAATAGAATAGAATATAGAACAGAATATAAAACAGAACAGAATATAAAATAGAATATAGAATAGAATGAACAGAATAGAATATAGAATAGAAAAAAGAAAATGTGGAATATGGTATATGGAATAGAATAGAATATAGAATAGAATAACAGAGCTGGAAGGGACCTTGGAGGTCTTCTAGTCCAATCCCCTGCTCAAGCAGGAAACCCTGTACCATTTCAGACAAATGGTTGTCCAGTCTCTTCTTAAAAACCTCCAGTGATGTAACACCCAGTTTAGCTCTGCCATCCCAGCCCCAAAGGCTCAAGAGAAGAACCAGCTCTTCAAGTCTCTTTCAAATCATAGCAGGGAAGAATCGGTCCGGAAATCTAGAAATTAGCAAGGTGGATACTCCAGTTAACTCCACCAGCGAGATTTGAGCAATTCAGAGTTATTGCAACACCCAAGTTTGTGACTCTAGGAAGTGGGTTTTTTTTTAATCTCGCTAAAACGGGCTGGATTTGCCCAGCAATCTGACAGCTCTCCTCCGTCTCTGATTCAAACCAGAAAATCTTATTTCGTTGTGTAGGGATAAAATGGATAAGGGCTCCCTTCCCAATCCGACATGAATCTCTTTCTTACCGCAATCCAGTGAAATGCGCGTGAATTCTCAGCTGGGCCCCATAAATCTGGATTCTAGTCGTCTGGATTTCAATCACGGCCCCGATGGTGGGAATATACTAAAAGAGAAAGAGGAAAAATTAAGATTATTAAACATAGACAAGGCTGTGTTCTTCCTGCTTCTTATGTTTTGGTCCCAGATGATTTACCAATTGTGTGACCTCTGAATTAAAATCATATTTATTTGCATGGATTTAAACAGTCCCCAATGCCTCTGGCCACTTTACACAACAAAATAATAGAATACTAAAATAATTTTAAAAAAAACAAGAGCGGTTTGAAAAGAAGGCATGCGAAAGAAAACCAAATTTTACAGAGGCTTGTCACCATCCCTAGAGTAGACTAAGATTGGGGAAATAAACATTGTATTTCTGAACAGTATCTTTAGGGGGGGGGAGGGTTAGGTGGAGGAAGCACCCTTACAAGATTTTAGCTGCATGCTAGAGAGAAGAGGAAAGATTCAAAAGTGAACCCCCAAATTTTCACTTCTGTACAGTTACAGAGGAGAACAATTAAAAAAATAAATAAATCTGGAGCTTAAGAAATCAGCTAGCACTCTCCGAGATTGTGAAAACGGTGAGATTTGATACCGAAGCTTCTGAACTCTTTATTGTCTGAGCTGTGCCAGATTCAGAGGGATTTTAGTCCCCTCTAGTGGAAATTCAAGGATCAAGCATTTGTAAAAATGTGTAAAAAATATTAACCTCGCAGCACTGAATCTCAGCAAATTTAAGTTGTATAGACCTCAACTCCCAGAATTCCACAGCCAGCCTGGTTTAAACGATGGGTGGACCAACTCCCAGAATTCCACAGCCAGCCTGGTTTAAGAGAGGTGGACTTCAACTCCCAGAATTCCCCAGCCAGCATGCTTTAAGAGGGATGGACTTCAACTCCCAGAATTCCTCAGCCAGCAGGCTTTAAGCTGTGTGGACTAGAGAATTCTGGAAGTCCACACATCTGAAGTGGTTGAGGTTGAGAAACACCGCGTTGCAGCGTTGCAACACAACTAATCCAGACTGCCCCAACTTGACACACTTGCAGAAATGCTGGATTTCAACACCCAACTGGCTAGATTGGCAATTCAAAAGTCCAGCATGTCAGGACAGCTCTAAATCCAGAAAGTTGCCTTGATGTCATGGAGACCTGAGATCAAATCTCTGCTCAGCCGGTTATTTTTACCTACAGGATCATAAGAGCAGATAAAACAGAGCTTTCTTTGATAAGACAGGCAGTCCTCGACTTACGACCGCAACAGGGCCCAAAATGTATGTTGCTAAGTGAGACATTTGTGAAGGGAGTAACATGGTTGTTAAGTGAATCTGCTTTGCCCCATTGACCTTTTTGCTTGTGAAGTGGTCACTAAAGGGGATCACGTGACCCCGGGACACTGTGACCGTCATAAATGTGAATCAGTTGTCCAGCATCTGAATGTAAATCATAGGACCACGGGGATTGCTGCTGCAACGGTCGTTAAGTGTGAAAAATTATCATAACTCACTTTTTTCAGTGCCATTCTCGCACTTATGACTGCTGTGGCGTCTCCACGATCACGTGATCAGAATTTGGACGCTTGGAAACTGGCATGTACTTACGACGGTTGCAGCGTCCCGGGGTCACGCGATCGCCATTTGCGGACCTTCCCAGCAGGCTTCCGACAGGCAAAGCCAATAGGGGAAGCTGGATTCGCTTAATGACTACATGATCCGCTTAACGACTTTCGTGATTTGCTTAGCCACTGGGCAATAACGGTCGTATAATCGGTCGGGAGACTCGCTTAGCGACTGCTTTGGTTAGCCATGGAAATTCTGATCCCGTTTGCGGTCGTAAACCCGAGGACTTCTCACAGTCCGTTTCGGAAGATCTGCATTAGAAAAGGGGGATCTCTCAGGATGGATCTGCATCCAAAGCTTTATAGGGAGACCAAGATTATCTCACCGAATCTTCTTTGTAATCCGAGTATAATTCAACTTCCACGATTTGTTTCTGTTCCGTAAAACCGGCGAGGAAGAGGCCAGCGAAAGCGAGTGTGTCGAGGATCTGTAATAATCGTGAACGATAGTGCAACATGGCCTAGAAAGGAAGGAAGGAAATCCATCAATCAGAGGTCAACGGCCCAAGAATCGCCGTGATGCGGTCCTTTCTGATACCAATTGAAGAGTGTATTTGTAGCCAGTGTTGATGATGTTACCTAGTTGGGTCATGAAACGTCTGCAAGGAAACCACCAAGCTCAGAGAGCACCAAGGACCCCACTATCATTTCCGAATTAGCCATATTTCACTCCTTCTCATTGTCCCAGACAAAACCACCCATCTATTCTATTCTATTCTATTCTATTCTATTCTATTCTATTCTCTCTTCTATTCCATTCCACCCCACTCCACTCAATTCCATTCCAATTCTCTATTCTATTCTATTCTATTCTATTCTATTCTATTCTATTCTATTCTATTATTATTATTCTATTCTATTCTATTTACTCTACTCTACTCTACCCTACTCTACTCTATATTCTATTATTATTCTACTCTAATTCTAATTCTATTCTATTCTCTTTACTCTATATTCTACACAGGTTTTGTTCCACAGTCAACTCCGCTTTGTGGGACTTCAAAGAGGTTTGGCCATCGCTCACCGCTGTGAAATTAATAAAGGGATGATTGATTTAACCGCTCCACCCAATTGCGAGAGCAGATCAAAAAAAGCCAGATCCCGTCCATCAAAATTATTTTTGAAAAAATCCAATCTCTCTAACCCTAACAAAATTCCAGACTTACGGCCCGAGCGGAGGAAGAAATGACGCGTCCGCCTTTGGTGTAACAAGAAATCACGACCATGAACATGCCCAGATTCTGGTTGACCGGCGATTCGGGCAAGTCCAACTCCAGCGACATCCGGTAAGGTTGGCCGTACATGAGAACCTGGTGGGGAAAAAAGAAGAGGAGAACTATCTTCATTTTGTGGGACTCGCTGGCTCACTCACGTCCTGGTTCCACTCCCGGTTAGGCTACTGCAATGCGTTCTACGTGGGGCTGCCCTTGAAGACTAGCAGGAATCCCAGATTTATAACCATTCATTTAGCAATCGGTCTGAAGGCCCAACTGCATGCAAAAAAGTGAGTCAGGCACCCAAATCCTCACACTTAGGACAGTTAAACAGCATTCCCCACAGTCAGGTGATCCAAATTCGGTTGCTTGGCAACTGGCATGTATTTGATGAGCTGTAGCATCCCGGGATCACGTGATTGCCATTTGCGACAAGTGAAGTCTCGCTTACCGACCGTGCGAATAGCAACAGAAATGTGGGTGGGTCAGTTCAACAGGTATCGCACGGGGCAATCAGCTACACCGACTTAATTGCCAGGCTGCACCCAACGAGGCGCAGCAGGCGAGATAAAACCGCGAGCCGAGAATTTCAGGCCTGATCTGAATTTCACCTCGTTTCTTATGCAATACTAGAGCGGCTCATAAATTGCATCTCGTGCGGCTCACGGCGTTTCTGGGCTGAATGCAGCCGATGTTCCTGCACAAGCCCAGAGCTTTGCATGCATGTGCCTAAAAACATCTGTCTGGTCGCCCATATCCTGTTTTTACCGTAATCACCTGCAGTGTGATTCAAGCTAATTATTTACAGCTTAATTTTACCTGCCTTAAAAGTTGGAGGGAGGGAGGGAGGGAAGGAAAGAAGGGAGAATAGAAAGAAAAGGAAAGAGATAAAGAGGAAGGGGGAGGGAGGGAGGGAGGGAAGGAGGGAAGGAAGGGAGAATAGAAAGGAAAGAAAGAGGGAAAGAAAGAGAATGGGGAGGGGAGGGCAGGGGAAGGAAAGGAAAGGAAAGGAAAGGAGGAAGGAGGTAAAGAAGAAGGGGGAAGGGGAGGGAGGGAAAGAAGGAAGGAATGGAAAAGAAAGTGGGAGGGAGGGAGGGAGGAAAGGAAGGGAGGAAGGAAGGAAGGAAAAAGGAAGAAGGAAGGAAGGGAGGAAAGGAGGAAAGGAAGGAAGGAAGGAAGGAAGGAAAGGAAGGAAGGAGAAAGAGAGGAAAGCAAGGGATCAGAATGATTAAAAGGTATGGAAGAACATAAAACTGTACAACTTTCATTGCCTGCAACCTTATTCCATTTAATTTCAAAACACTGCCGTCATCCGCAGGTTTTGAAAACCGGTCACCTGGTCTCGGCTGTCCTTGATGAAAGAAATGTTGGCAACAGGAAAGGAGCAGAGTTCAGGTCCAGGCTGGCCACAGTCCGTCCTGAAAAAAAGGTCAAAGAATTCTCCCAAATCAGATTCAGACGACCCTTCAGCAGATCTCAAATTTACAAAGCTACTTTCTGGCACGTGATTTTTTTTTAAAATTTTTTATTCTGGCAAAGAATTACAGGTACGCCTCGACTTGCAAGCATCTATTTAACGGCCGTTCAAAGTTACAATGGCACTAAAAAAAAAAAAAAGCCAGCGACAATCGGTCCTCGCTCTTACGACTGTGGCGGCATCGCCGCGGTCACGGAAATCAAAATTTGGGCGCCTGCCACTGGCGTGTCTTTAGGATGGCTGCAGCATCCAAGGTCCCGCGATTGCCATTTGAAACCTTCCCAGGCGGCTTCAACAAGCACTCGGGGGGGAGATGGATCCGCTTAACGACAGCATGATTCACTTAACAACCGTGGCAGAAAAAGATTGTAAAATTGGAAATGACTCACTTTCACTTCCTCGCCTAGCAATCAAAATTCTGGCTCCAGTTGTGATTTTCAAAACCCTCGTAAGTCCGAGGACTACCTGTATAATCTCAGAGTCAGAATAGTTGAGAATCAGAATAAAGCTGGAAGGGACCTTGGAGGTCTTCTAGTCCAGCCCCCTGCTCAAGCAGGAGTCTTTATACCATCTCAGACAAGTGACTGTCCAGCCTCATCTTAAAAACCTCCAGGGATGAAGCACCCACAACGTCTGGTGGCAAGCTGTTCCGCTGGTTAACCTCCTACTAACCCAGTTTGCTACAGCCCTCCCCATCCACACAACTAACCTGAATCGGTAGTGAACGGGACTGACGTAGCTGACCGTGGGCATGTAGGAGTAGTAAAAGCTGCCGTAAAGGAAAATGGAGATCCAGAGGAGTAGCAAAAGCACGCACAACAAAATGGCCGTCTGCAGGACCGTGCGACGCACTCGCAACATAAGCAACGAGGCCACTTCTTGGACCCACACCAAGAAAGGTCCGGGGCTCGCCGACATGGTGCTGCTTGGCGAAGGCAGCCGACGGGGATCCGGGAAAGCGAGTCAATATGTTAGAGGGAGTGGGTGTCAACCTTCCCCAAGCAGCGAGGGTCCCGTTTTGGCACCGGCAAAAAGCAGAGAAAAATAACCAGAGTTCCTTGTGCAACGAAGAAGTTAATTTAAAATAAATAAATAAATTAAAGCATTGTAGTAATTTTAATCTGGAAGTCAAAAGCTTTTACGCAGACAAAAGAGACCGTGCATTGGTGCATGGCGGTTTTTTTGAACGTAGTTTGGCTTCATGAGAAAAACAGACAAAGTAAGGGTCAATGGTGGCACCAGAACATGCTAGATCGGGGGCGGGGGGGGCACCAAGCTCTGGGTCCCCTTCCTCTTAGAAATTAGGCTGTCCTTTAAGACTCCGCTCCCCAGGTCCCAGAAGTTTCCTAAAATGGAAAAAAGACAAAATAGATTCAGGGTTATTGCAGACACCAGATTTTGCAAACTCTTACTTAGCACTTTGTGTTTTCTTGGCTTCAACTTTTCCCTGCATCTGAACAAAGAGTGTTAACACTTTTTGGAGAAGGAGGTTACACAGCGAAGGCTGGTATGATGGGATGTAGAAATTATAAAACCCCCCCCCCCAAAAAAAACTTGGCCTCTGACCCATTTCTTTGCCAATTTCTGTCTGGGCAACCCAGATGGGCCTTGCAAAAAAACTGTGTTAGAAGTAAGACTCTCGGTCGCCGATTGTTGAATGTTAAAACAATCAAGAGTTTGTTGAAAGGTTTTGCACTGGGGTTTTATTTTTTGCAAGCTGCCCAAAGTCACCAGTGGTTGGGTGGCTATGTTTTTATTTTATTTATTAAATGTACATGCCACCCTTCTCGTCTAGAGGCCTAAAATTTTCTAACCAACACGTAAGTAAATAAAAACACGTGCCGGTTTTCTCAATGAAAGATTAAGAGGGATACATTTGGTCAATGTATTAAGCCAAATTAAGCCAACACTTAATTTGAACCCAATTTAAAAATAAAATTGCCTTCCGTAATAGAGGGAAGAAGATAAAAGCATATAAATAAAGTTACAGTTAAATTATTACAGTGCAAAACTTCCAGTTCAGAATTCCGAGAAGCAAAGCCGTACTAGCACCCAGTTAAAGCAGAGTATTTTAATTTTTTCTTTCTTCAAGCAAGAAAGCAAAACTCGGGACAGAAAGCTTAAAATCAGTTACTGCTCCAAAGTTACAATCACTAGCAGTAATAGTCTTAAGTAGGAGCCTTAACTGAGGTTTTAGTACAGTTTTTAATACTACTTTAATCTGTATAGTCTTAATGTTTGGATATTTTAATTTTTTTTACCTGTTTTATAATCTTATGGGTAAATGGGCACCATACACATTTAATAAATAAACAACAGTGTGCTTAAGTAACATCCCAATTAAATGCCAACATTCAGAGAGATACACCCACTCTTTTTAAGTTACTAAACACACAACAGAATTACAGGAATGTTTTGTTTGCCTCCCATTGCTTGATAACTGTGAACCAGAATTATCTCACAATTCTCCAGAGCGACTCTTTAAAATTTACTCGTACTCTTTACACTTGCCTCATGCCACGACAATCAAACTAACAGCCGTTAAAAATTTAGAATTAAGCCCCTTTCCCCCACAATGTCCAATTCAGCTTCTAGATAAATTCTAAGCATTCTTAATTGCATTAAAAAAAATGACAAAAGGCAATCCTACGCAGCTAGTACAAAACAATATACAAATCCTGCAGAGGCTTCCTATTTTGCACACAAGGAATTAAAATAAAATTAGAGGGGTCTAATTGGACGTGGTCTCTTATTATAAAGAAAGCGGGGGGGGGAACCTGGTTTTTAATTAGAAACGGGGAAACAAACTAGATACAGTCCCCAAATCTTGGTTTAGCTTGTTTGGGAGAAGAGAAGCTTCCCTTTTCCTCCATCCCAAACACAAGCCACCATCCCATCTCAGCTTAAGAGAGGCAAACCGGAGAGAGACTTGCAAATGAATCAGATATGTTGCCTGCAAGAATGGGAAGCATAGGCTGGGAAGGAGAATAGGGGGCAAATGCAGAAGTAAATGGGGGGGGGCGTGTTTAAAGCCCCATCCACCTAGTTTGCAAACCCTGATTGGGGGTCAGATAGGAAACCAAGGGGGAGAGCATGTCAGTTTATATTAGGGGAAAAAAATAAAATTTCAAAGCACCTGAATTAGTTCCAACGCTGCTGTTGCTGCTGCTGTTCCGCCTCTAGATTCTCCCTTTAAAGTCTCCCCCCCCTTTTTTTTTCTTTCCCAAATGTGGGTCTGGCTCTACCTCTTCCGGGTTTGGCCCCGCCCCCGAGGTGGGAGGGGGGAAAGGAGGAGAGGAGGGGCCTTTTGGTTTTTGTTTTTTTTTTTGCAATGATGCTGCTGCGGCCGCCGCCGCCGGCAAGCATCTTCCAGTCACGTGGCCGGAGGGATGCTGCGGCTGCCTGCCTCCCGTTTCCATGGAGACAGGCGGAAGCGGAGGACCACTTTGGTGCCTTTTCTCTGGATGAGATGCTGGAGGGAAGGGAAATATGAGATTTCAGCCAATGGCTCCCCTGCTTTCTGATTCTTCTTCTTCTAATAGCAAAACAGGGGTCTTTAATGTCATAATTCAATATATTTTAGGCTTCCTTATGAGTTGAGGCCTGCGTTCGCACCAGCCTAGATTTTTGGGCTAGGCATAGATTCCTGGGGAAAGGAATATTCAATCTCTGTGTTGCAGCTTCCTTTAAGCTCTGTTGAAAATCAATTTTCTGGCTTTATTTACAAGAGGGTTAGCTTGCGAGTCAGAGTACTATGAAAATTCAAGTAATTTTTTTAGTTTATTCATAGCCAGAATAAACCATAGGGGGAAAAGGTGAGCATAGAACGTTATATATACCCAAGCAATTGATCTGACAAAAGTGGAAAAGTTTTGTCTCCATCATAAAACGGTGGAGCTTTTGATCTTTACGATTCGGGCCCTGAATCAGAATATTATATGGAACTGACGTATAAATCAAATTATTTCTTCCTACAACTTCCCCAAGTTTCTAGCACAATCCTAAAAGCTACCTTACTCATTGGTAAACCCCGTTTATTTCCATGGGGGGGACACACCGTGTAAAGATGGATTTACAGTTCAGTGTAATACAAATATCCACAAATATACATCTAATAGCAAGTCACTAATCTTGATAGGAATATTGAACATGTTATCTCATTGTATTGCGAAGTAGCCATTTGGAATTCAATTCTCTCTTTATCTGTTTAAGACGCTTTGACCTGGTACACATTTTACATTAAATATTCCATCCGTTTACCTACAGTTAAATAAACAAGCCACAATTAGAACATGGTGTGAAGAGATAGGATAGCCATTTATCTGGGATGGTATAAGGCCTTCTGCTTGAGCAGCGGGGTTGGACTAGAAGACCTCCAAGGTCCCTTCCAACTTAAGTTATTGTTAAATTCTGTTAAGACAGAATCCAGCATCTAGGCTGTTTGGGGTGAATTACAGATTTAAAATTATTTCGCAGGCCAGTACAACATATATATGTTGCAATAGTCTACTCTAGATGAATTATAAGGAGGCTAAAACATATAAGGAACGGTTGCTGGAATTGGGTATGTCTAGTTTAACAAAGAGAAGGACGAGGGGGGACATGGTAGCAGTGTTCCAATATCTCAGGGGCTGCCACAAAGAAGAGGGAGTCAAGCTATTCTCCAAGGCTCCTGAAGGCAGGACGAGAAGCAACGGGTGGAAACTGATCAAGGAGAGAAGCAACTTAGAACTAAGGAGAAACTTCCTGACTGTGAGAACAATTAACCAGTGGAACAACCTGCCTCCAGAAGCGGTGAATGCTCCAAAACTGGAAGTTTTTAAGAAGAGACTGGACAGCCATTTGTCTGAAATGGTGTAGGGTTCCTGCCTGAGCAGGGGGTTGGACTCGATGACCTCCAAGGTCCCTTCCAACTTTATTATTATTATTATTATTATTATTATTATTGTAATAAAAAAATTCAAATGTTAATATGCTTCCTCTCTTCCTTATTCATTTTTTCTCCTTCCCTCCCTCCCTCCTTTTCCTTCCTTTTCTTTCTCCTTCCCTTTTCCTTCGTTCAATCTCATTCCTTCCTTCTTTCTCCATCCCTCTTTTCCTTCCTTCTCCTTCCTTTCCTCCCTCCCTCCTTCCTTCCTCTGTGATTATGCAGTGTTTTGATTATGCCCAACTGTCTTTATGCAGAGCAGAGAGCCAGTCTTCCTTTCAAGCTGATGCAGGAAAAAAGCCACTTTTTGGAAGCCTGATGCCCAATAAATTGGGAGATATTTTTTTTTTTTAAAGGCGGTTGATGTCAGATTTGTAAATGAAAGCTATTGCTGACAATACTGCAGCTCCCCGGCCTTCATATTTGCAGGAAAAGGGTGGGGGGACTGACAAAGTGTCACAGCCACTCTCTTTGCACTCCGCTCCTCCTTTTGTGCCCCCTCCTCAATCAACCTCTTCTGTCATAGAGCCTGGCTATGCCATCCCCCTCCCACAATTTCCAGCCCTGGGTTTTTAAGCAATGGCTGCCTGGGCGGGGGGTACCATCAGCCCTGCCCCCCCCCCCGCTTAAAGAGATGGTTTGGTCCCAGCGTTTAATTGCTTTGTGGAATCCTCAAGGTATCCATCGATTGAATTAACTCTCCTCTTAGCCAAGGTGTGCCAAATGTCTTAGGAAGTCAGGGGGGAAAAGAGCCCCTTCTACTCGTCCACCTTGGAGAGCATCCTGCAGGGGCTGCTGCAGTGCCCCCCCCTCCCTCCCTCCCAGTCCAGGTGACTCTCCCCAGATCATCTCAGCCTCCAGCCCAAAACGGTCTGACTTTGCTCCATCTTCACAGTTCAGCGGAAAATCTCTACAAAGGTCTGTGTGGCTTTGGGCTGGGTTTCCCGGCTTGGATTCTCCCGGTCTCTGGGGGGGTCAAGCTTGAGGGGAGAAGGCGGGCAAAATGATTTCCATGTAAATACAGGACATTTCTGCGGGAGGGGGGGGGAGAAAAAAGGGCCCCAGCTACCGGTATATGAGGGACCTGTTAATAGGAAATATTGGGATGTGATAAGATAGATAGATAGATAGATAGATAGATAGATAGATAGATAGATAGATAGATAGATAGATAGATGGATGGATGGATGGATGGATGGATGGATGGATGGATGGATGGATGGATGGACGGACGGATGGGGGAAGAGTGGGAGGAAAAGAAGGAAGGAGGGAAGGAAGGGATAAATAAGGTAGCTGGGGAGGAAAGGATAGATAGATAGATAGATAGATAGATAGATAGATAGATAGATAGATAGATAGATAGATAGGGATAAGGGAGGGAGATGGATGGATAAGGGAGGGAAAGTGGGAGGAAAAGAAGGAAGGAAAAGATAAATAAGGTAGCTAGAGAGGAAAGAATAGATAGATAGATAGATAGATAGATAGATAGATAGATAGATAGATAGATAGATAGATAGATAGATAGATAGATAGATAGAAAGAAAGAAAGAAATTCTCTATTGGGGTGGGAAACCACAGATGGAAACAGAAAAAAATCTTTTTTTCACGTCTCCCTGTTAGAGAGGCCATGAATGGCTTTGGATGCTGTACTGTATTAGAACTGTCTTTATTTGTGTTTGGTAATGTGATTTTTTTTTCTTAGAACATATTTCCCCCCCCCCCATTCTATTCCTCTTGGTTGCCTCAGAGATCAGAGAAGGAAGGGCTTGTGGCAGGAAACAAATGGAGGAAGATGAGGCAGGGAAATTTCAGAACGAGGCAAGGGCTGTTTGCTTTGGAGGAAATCTGGAGTTTACATCGGATCAGAACTGAAGGGAGATGTTTTTCTGGAGAAGTTAATTCAGTTTTATCGTAGGCAAAATTCGGTCATTGTAGGAAGAATAATGAACCATCCTGGTTCTGAATGAGGCTCTAAAAAGGCTATTTAGATGATTATGGTTTATAAGACAAGAAAATGGTTCCTTGTTATGATGCAGTTATTTCTAATGTTTTGTTCTCTCTCTCATCACCGTCCCTGCATTCTTTCTGGTAACACATTGAAGTTGTGGTTTGTATTATAGGAACCCAACTACACCCCAAATGTTGCTGTTTTGAATGGTTTATGGCATGTTGTGTGAATCAAATCAGGTTGGAATTGGTTAACGCTAAGCCGTGGTTAAGGAAACCATAGTTATTCAAATTGTGGCAAGACAGTCACAAGGTGCAGCTGGACATGAACTGTCCACTTTAACCCTAGTGTGAAATATTTGTGCCATGGTAGATGCAGTCCCACACACTCTGGCTGGATGAATGTGGATCTAGTCATGCTGCTAGTCCTCAAGTTAAGATCCAAAGATAGGACCCATTTTTGATTCAATGGCATATTCTTCGTATAAAAGAGAAACATGAGACAGATATTTTGGGGGATAAAACTGGGGGATTTTAAGATGTTGGACAACCATTTGTCTGAGATGGTATAGGGTTTCCTGCTTGAGCAGGGGGTTGGACTAGAAGACCTCCAAGGTCCCTTCCACCTCTGTTGTTCTGTTATTCCATGATAGTTGAGATCTCTCTTACAAGAACAGTCTGGAGAACAATATTTTTAAAACAGATAAATCATCCAGTCTTGATGACATAATGGTAATTGCTTTCCAGGGCTCTAGGCAGGAGTAACACAGGGACAGTACACTTAGTTTTGCATTCATAAGCCCCCAACTGTACTCCCTCACCTGGTACTATGCAACGCCTTTCCAAAGGAAGAGTAATCATGGGTTGCAAACCTATTGGTGTCCACTAGGTGGCACAATGTATCATTGTAATGGATTTGGAATTGTGTGGATTCCCTCTAGTGGTCACCTGGAATACAGCAACATAGTCCTAAGCTTAGATTGAGCACACTCTACTTCTAGAGAAGTTGCCCGCAAGGATACAGTTGGGGCTAAATTTGAAGAGCGTCTTCCAACATCTCCCTTACGGTGAACGGTCTTGGGATGGTCCTTCTCTCTTGATGTCCTCAGCAGATTCCTCATGAAGGGCGAAACCCCCGTCAACAGCACAATGAGCATCGGCCAAGCCCGCAAGATGGTGGAGCAGCTGAAGATTGAGGCCAGCATGTGCAGAATAAAGGTGAGGAAAATGACTGACGGGCAAAAGGTATAGGCTGGTGGTTCTCAACCTCAACAGATTGAAAAGGCGTGGACTTCAACTCCCAGGATTCCCGTCGGGATGCATCTCCACTTCTTCAAGTCGTCAGGTTGAGAACTACCACCTTGGACAGGGCTGACAAACGAGCTGCAAAACCACGAGCAGCCACTAGATGGCAAAAACTACCATCTGGTAGCTGGTTTTCTTCTCATGACTGCTCCCCTAGTGCCTATATAGAGTACTGCAGCCTCAATTTTCTGAATGCCACCCAATTGGTATCTCTATGGCAGATGAATGGCCAAATCCTGATTTCTGTTCTTTTTGCCTCCTCTCCCCTAGGTGTCCAAAGCGGCTGCTGATTTGATGACCTACTGTGATGCCCACACCTGCGAGGATCCCCTCATTAGCCCCGTGCCCACCTCGGAAAACCCCTTCCGGGAAAAGAAATTCTTCTGCGCCCTGCTTTGAACTATATTTGCTCCCACCCACCCACCTCTCATCCCCGACGCTGGGTTGTGTGTCCTTTTCCTTCACTCCCCCCCTCCCCATACACATCAATCTGTATGGAGTTGGGTTAATGCAGAATCCTTGGCCTTCAAGCTCCTATCACTGGGGGCAGAGAAGAGGGGAGGGGGGGTGTCTTCAGGGCAGATCTATTTTCTCCTGCAGAGACCCCCAACTCTTTATTTTCCCAAATGCTTCCAAAATCAAGAGGGAGATTCCCTAAATAATACATAACATCAATGCCTCTTTAACAGCTCTAAATCAGCGGCCACAGTTCCCCAAGATGGGGAGCTGTGCTTTCCATAGGGGTGGGGTGGGGTAAATCAAGATATCTAAAGACCCTTCCCCCAATTAGACAAAGCAGGCAGCAAGAATTGCATCCACAAACCCCGGGATCTAACCTGGGGGGGGGGTTTGCTCTGGTATCCATATCCAGCATCGTTCCCACCAACTTCACCATGGCTAAAGTTTAGCTCCAAATTGAGGTTACTGAAGCCAGCCCTCTCTTCCTCCTCCTCCTCCCCTGCCCCAATATATCTCTTCCCCCTCCCCCAGGAAGGGCATAAGGTTTCCACAACAGGCTGATGGTTCTTCTCACAGCTTTTCACCTGTTCTGTATGTCAGAGAGCACGGAAAGTTAATAAAATTTACTGGAGTCCGTTATTACGGATTGTGTGTGATTGAACTAGAGAATTTGGGGTAACGGGGGGGGGGGGTGTTTAAGCAAATGTGAGAGGGACCTCGGAGCCATTTGTCCGAAATGGTATAGGGTTTCCTGCCTGAGCAGGGGGTTGGACTAGATGACCTTCAAGGTCCCTTCCAACTTTACTATTATTATTATTATTATAAATATGAGCCAGCAGTGTGCTGTAGCTGCCAAAAAAGCCAACACAGTGCTAGGCTGCATTAACAGAGGGAGAGAATCAAGATCAGGTGAAGTGTTAATACCACTTTACAAGGCCTTGGTAAGGCCACACTTGGAATCCTGCCTCCAGTTTTGGTCACCACGATGTAAAAAAGATGTTGAGACTTTAGAAAGAGTACAGAGAAGAGCAACAAAGATCAGGGGACTGGAGGCCGAAACATATAAGGAACGATTGCTGGAATTGGACATGTCTAGTTTAACGAAGAGAAGGACGAGGGGGGACATGATAGCAGTGTTCCAATATCTCAGGGGCTGCCCCAAAGAAGAGGGAGTCAAGCTCTTCTCCAAAGCGCCAGAAGGCAGGACAAGAAGCAACGGGTGGAAACTAATCAAGGAGAGAAGCAACCTGGAACTAAGGAGAAATTTCCTGACAGAACAATTAACCAGTGGAACCACCTGCCTCCAGAAGCGGTGAATGCTCCAACACTGGAAGTTTTTAAGAAGAGACTGGACAGCCATTTGTCCGAAATGGTATAAAATTTCCTGCCTGAGCAGGGGGTTGGACTAGATGACCTCCCCGGTCCCTTCCAACTTTATTATTATTATTATTATTATTATTATTATTATTATTATTATTATTATTATTACTAAGGATTTCCTCAAAAATGTCTATGGAGGTTCTCAATCAACCAGGTCACATTTGTCCCAAAGCTGCTTTTTCAAGAGGCAACCAGACTTTCTTCAGTCAGAGCTGAAGAAGCTCCGTGGAGGAGAAGCGAAACGTCTCCAAAGAAAAACTAGGAAGTCCAGTTGCCTCCTGAAAAGAAAAAAAAAACACCTCAGAAAGATCTCCGAAGAGAAGTTTCTAGATTCACAGCCTTGGGGATGCATTGTCCGCCATTTTCCAGGATCAATCAAAATGGCTGCGTTTGTGGGTGTGCGTAACAGGCAAGACCTCAACTTTTACACAACCATTCATTTAACGGCCGGACTTAAAAACGGCACTTCTGTTTGGGAAGCCGAAATCGCTTAAGGGTTGTGTGATTATTTTTGTTAAGTGACCGCCTGAAAAATTGTGTCCGACTCGACTTAACGACCGCAATGACTTATGATGGAAAATCCGGTCCCAATTAGGATCATAAGTTGAGGACAATGTGACAAGGACAACCTGGAGGAGGAAAAAAAAAGAGTAGCCATTTTTTCCTTTCACTATTCCAACCGATATATATAAAATAAACCGTTATTCTTTATTGCTTTTTGTGGCAGATTTGGCAACGGCCAAAAAAAGACAAACAAACAACGTGAGAACAAGGACAGAGGTCCTTCTAAACCGCTAAAATTTCATGTGTTTGGACGTAGTGAGTTAAGGTTGTGCAAGTAGAAATCTAGAAAGCTTTATAGCGTCCCTTCGGCTGCTGTGTTAAATGGCTGCTTCTCCCGTTAACCAACGGCAATTAAAGAGGCTAGTCCTGATTAAGGTTCCCAAGGGGAAAAGAAAACCACACAATTTACAGGGAGTGCTTCCGCAATTTAGCGATCCCTGAAGGAGGGAGGTGTAAATCAGCACAATTAGGCTTAACCGTAGAAAGCGTGCTGGGTTTTTTTAAATGTAGAAAGCTAAAAAAATATATATGCTGCAACAGCACAAAATGCCTGCCGTTCGGAGACCATAGCGCGCTAGTTTTCGTGGCAGGAAGTGGGCACGGACAGTCCTCGACTTACAACGGGTCCCTTTGTGACAGTTTGAAATTACAACGGACGTTTCTCCTGAGACGCTACTTATCTATACAGTAGATATGCTGCTCAACTACAACTCCCAGCATTCCTCACTGCCGGCCTATATAGGCGGGACAGGCTACTGTTGGGAACAAAGTGCTTTGCGTCACAGGACTACAGATCCCATGAACCGTTCCTTCCCACCGGGCTGGAGGCAATGGGGAGGGACACCTCCAGGAAGGGGTCGGGCAAATTAGCAGGGATTAGCTGATTAGAGATAGTAAACTAGGAATGCTGGTCAGATCAGGGTGAGGGGGGAACCAATGGCAGCTTGTACGGGGAGATAAACGGGTCAGCGGTGTGCAAATGGAGTGTTTGCCCTTAAGGGTCCCTGGGAAGAGCTTTTCAAATCTCAGCTGCCACGCAGCTGTCCTCATTCTCTTCCCAAAGAACGGCGGGACGGAACAAAGGGCCGAGAGATTTTACACAGGGGAAATCGAGGGAGGGGTCTGGCCTGAGCGCATTCAAAGGCAGAGTTGGCTTCCAGGGGGAGGGATCCTCGGCTGCTCGTTCAAGGAATGGAGAGAAGAAACAGCCTCTGGTCCAGTGCAGGAGACTTCAGAAGAGTTTGATGATGGACTTGCGAGATTTCCCCACGCCGATCCACTTAACTGCGGAAAAGATTCGGGTTTATCCCTCGGCTAACCCCGTTTCAAAAACGCTCCAGACTCTGGACCGCCCCGAAGGCTCACCTGGCACTTCCAGGTACTCCTCAATAAACCGGACGTAGGCCTGGGCCTTGGCAGGCAGGTCGGCGAAGGTGCGAGCGTCCTCGGTGCTACATCGCCATCCGGGAAGGTCCTTGTACTTCACCGTGACCTTGTTCAGGAGCTCCTGGTTGGCTGCGGACGGCGAGAGAAAGGGACGGAGAATATAGGGGTGACCCTGGTGCTCTCTGAGCTGGGTGGCTTTCTTGAGAGACGTTTCGTGACCCAACTAGGTAACAGAATCAGTGCTAGAAGGGAGGGGGGGTNTGCTACATCGCCATCCAGGAAGGTCCTTGTACTTCACCGTGACCTTGTTCAGGAGCTCCTGGTTGGCTGCGGACGGCGAGAGAAAGGAAGGGACGGAGAATATAGGGGTGACCCTGCTGCTCTCTGAGCTGGGTGGCTTTCTTGAGAGACGTTTCATGACCCAACTAGGTAACAGAATCAGTGCTAGAAGGGAGGGGGGTTGTAGGGGGGAGGAGGAGGAGGACTGTAGGGTCCTTGGTGCTCTCTGAGCTTGGTGGTTTTCTTGCAGACGTTTCATGACCTAAGTAGCTAACATCATCAGTGTAGAAGGGAAAAGGGTTTGTGGAAAGGAGGAGGGGCAGAAGAGGAGGAGGAAGAGAAGGAGGAGGAAGAGGAGGAGGATGATGATTGTGGTTTTTTGCAGACGTTTCATGACCCAACTAGGCAACATCATCAGTGCTGGAAAGGAGTGGGGTTTGCAGAGGAGGAGGAGGAAGAGGAGGAGGAACACTGTGGAGTCCTTGGTGCTCTCTCAGCTTGATGGTTTTCGTGGAGACGTTTCATGACCCAACTAGGGAACATCATCAGTACTATACGGGTATTTGCAGCAAACTCCTCTCTCTTCTAGCACTGATGATGTTCCCTAGTTGGGTCTTGAAACGTCTCCAAGAAAACCACCCAGCTCAGAGAGCACCAAGGACCCCACAGTTCAACCCTGAGCTACAAAGTCTCTTCTACTGATACACAGGCAACAATCAGCCCCTTGTCTGCTGGGTCCTATGGGTCTCCACCCCAAAGTCCGCAGTCTCACCTGGGAAATACGGAATATGCTCCCCATCCAGATGGTATTCCACGCCCACCTTGATCACTTCAAAGTTGTCCAGGATGTCCAGCTTGGTCACCGCCAGGCTAGGAAGCGTCCAGGAAATGTGTTACCATCAAGCCAAATACAGTCTCTCACCAATTGCTGATATTAGAGATGGTCCTTGACTTACAACCGTTTGCTTAGTAACCATTCAGCGCCGAAAAAAGTCGAGTTGTGACTTGTTCTCGCCCTTATGACCAACGTGGCATCCTTACAGTCAGGAAATTGGGTCATTCCGCTGCCTAGCAACAGGTATACATTTACAACGGTTGCAAGACATGTCTGAAATGGTATAGGCTTTTCTGCCTGAGCAGAGGGTTGGACTAGATGACCTGCAAGGTCCCTTCCAACTTTATTATTATTATTATTTTAAGAAAGTCCAGTTGCCTCCTGAAAAAAAACACCTTTTGAGTCAGCCATGACCTGGATGACCGGAAAATCTCCGTAGACATTCACAGAACATCCAAACCCCCAAGGAAAAAACAAACAAACCTGGAAGTAAAATAATAACAATGATAATAATAATAAACAAATAAATTTGGAAGAGGCTTACGCGCTGAAACCGTTGATCCTGTGAGCGTATTTCACCAAGACGAGGTCCAGCCAGCCACAGCGACGCTTACGGCCCGTGGTCACCCCGAATTCCCGTCCCCGTGCTTGGAGTGTCTCGCCAATCTCCTGCCAAGGAGATTTAAAAAAAATGTACGGTTGGACACCCCTTTAGCAAAATCCTGCTTTTCTGCCGAAATATTCAGATATTTTGTGTTTGTTTGTGTGTGGCCAGCTTAAGTGAATCGCTTCAGTTGTGAAGTCAACAACAGGGTTGTTGAAGTGAATCTCGTCATAAAGACGAGGCAGTTGCCAAGCAGCTGAATTTTGTTTTTTATAAACATTTTATTGGTTTTTAACTATAACAGTCTCCAGCGCCTGGTGTACAGCGTGTTGTCTTGGTTTATATTTTAACAAGAAAAAAAAAGACCATAATAATGAATTAACAATCAGCAATGATTAAGTTTGATAATTCCATAATTAGTATATTAATTAATATGTTTCTTTGATCTTCCCTTCTCCCATTTCTATTCTTTCTTCAACCTTAACCAAAATATACCTCTTAATATTTTCAATATATAAATGATTAGATATGGGTGTTTTTTTATATTTAATACCAATAATAATCATCTCTAGGTCTAACGTTTTTTTCAGCTTGTATCATTCTTATAAACATCCTCTCATTAGTTCAGCATGTGTCCTATTTTCGTAATTTTTGTGTTTACGCTTCATTCCCTTTATATTCAATCCAATTCTTAGTCACAATTTCTTCATAGGTTAGTCATTGAACTGTCCTAATTTTCCCACTTTAAGTACATCATCCCAATATTTCAGGCCATACTATAAGATAGATAAAAAGTATAGTAATTTTTATAATGCATGACAAGTAGCTGAATTTTGATCCCGTGACGGTAGGGGATGCCCCAACGGTTGTTAAGCGTGAAAGACCATCTTAAGTCGCTTTTTTTCAGTGCCGTTGCAACTTCGGTCACTAAACCAATGGTCGTTAAGTCGAGGACTATCGGCGATGGAGGGATAATATAATTTATTTCTTCGTAATTCATCCAGACCGTCCGATAGGGTTTTTAATCTTACAGCCGGGAAGGGAGTTTTGTGAAGAATGCGGTGGGATGCAAGGCTGAGAAATAAATAATGGCGAATAAAAGTAGGGGACGGCAGAGAAAATGCCCCCCCCCCCGTTTTTCAAGGGACTTACGTTGTTCTGCTCGGTTGGGAAGGTCCCCACGCCGACACGGGTGGTGTAGGCCTTCACCACGCCATACACCTTGCCGATGTAATGGGGGGGGATGCCAAGGCCGGTGCATACCCCTCCCACAGTGCAATTGGAGGAGGTCACGAAGGGGTAAGTACCTTTGGGGGAGACAAGAAAAAATCTTGCGCTACAAAAGGACATTGGGGGGGGCAGCGGCACTTGCAAATTTCAGAAGAGAATCTCTAGCTAGAAGTTCCCACCCATCGGTCCCCTCCGACAATATCTTGGTGACTTTTCCAGGTTCCTACTGCAGTTAGTCTAACCTTAGAATCACGAGGACTAGAACCTTGTTTTTACAGAACATCTGTGTGTGTGTGTGGGGTGGGGGGAAGCTCCACCCTGAGCTGAAATTCCAGCATCTTCATCTCTTCTGCTCTAGCTGAGTCAACTCAAGTCCTGGTTTTTTTTAAGGGATTAGTTTAATTTATTTTATTTAATAAATTTATATGCTGCCATCTCGCCTTCTCTGGAGGCCCTACCTGGCTTTGCTTGATTTTTGATCCAGATAATCTAATCTAATCTAATCTAATCTAATCTCTATCATATCAATGTAATGTAATATGATATACATATATAATACATGATATATATTGTGACGTGATGTGATATATATGATATATATTAATGTAAAATATATGTAATAAATATGATATATATATATTAATGTAATGTCATATATAAGATAATAAATAAATCAATATGATATATATATATATATATAAGTAAATTTATGGTATGGTATGGTATAATAATAATAATAATAATAATAATGATGATGATGATTGATGATGATAAAGTTGGAAGGGACCTTGGAGGTCTTCTAGTCCAACCCCCTGCTCAGGCAGGAAACCCTATACCATTTCAGACCAATGGCTGTCCAATCTCTTCTTAAAAACTTCCAGTGTTGGAGCATTCACCGCTTCTAGAGGCAGATTGTTCCACTGGTTAATTGTTCTAACTGTCAGGAAGTTTCTCCTTAGTTCTAGGTTGCTTCTCTCTTTGGTTAGTTAGTATAGTATAGTATAATATAATAAAAACAAGCACTGCACACTGAATGAACCTAGATACTAACTCTAAGCTGGCTCGGCGGCCATTTTTGATTGAGAAAAGAACACCTGTAAACGAAATAAATATATATATATATATATTAACGTGCAAAAGGGAAGTTACCAAAATCGATGTCCAGGAGGGCTGCGTTGGCTCCCTCCACGAGAATCTTCTTGGGGGGCCCGTGCAGAGCTTGGTACATGAAATAAACCCCGTCCTTTACCAGGGGGCGGATCTTCTCTGCGTAGATCTGCCAATCAATAAAGATGGACAAACGAATGTTTGAAAGTCGAGGGCCGGCTGTATTTGAGTCTGCAAACTCTGGATTAAACCAGCTTTAAGCAGACATTTTCATGGGTCAAGACATTTCCCTGCTCAGATGCCCCAAAATACCTTTAACTGCTCCAGCTCAGCTTCCGTGTTGATATTAAGTGTTGGGTAGCTGGCTTTGTAGTGCTGGGCCAAAGCCTTGAACCTGAAAATAACGGGCGGTAAATTCCTTGTTTTTCCAAATAATTATTATCACGATCAAAGTTCTTTGCCGGCCGTCTCGCCGCTCAAGCCGACTCCAAGTGGCTTCCCGGTTAAGATAAAATACACAAATCTCCGGCAATTATAAACAAAAATGCAGGTTAAAATTACAAACATTAAAACACACTAAAAATAAATAAACAAAAATTTCAAACTCTTAGGCAGAGACTACGCTCCGGTCTGCCTGCCCTTGACCCTCAACGAGGACTAGTGGCGTTCCCTGGAGTCAACCGGCCCTTCCACTTCACACCCCCATCCCGTAGTAAGTGCTGCCACCTCCTCATTGTACTCACTTTTTGGAGAACTCGTTAAAATCCGCCAACAGGTCACAAATGCGCAAGCCGGTCCGGGAGGCTTTGGAAGCGTAGGCGGGACCGATGCCCTTCTTGGTGGTGCCCAGGCTGTTGGAAGAAACCAACCGGGCTTCGAACGGAGGTCCGAAACGGTACTTCCCACCCTCATTCTAACTACGGGTAGTCCTCGACTTACGACGATTCATTTAGTGACCGTTTGGAGTCACAACGGCGCTGAAAAAAGGGATCGAGGACCGTTTTTCACCGTCGCAGCGTCCCCAGGGTCCCGTGATCGAAATTCGGACGCTTGGCAACTGACATGTACCTGTGACGGTTGCAGTGGCCCAGGGTCCCGTGATCGAAATTCGAACGCTTGGCAACCGACATGTACCTGTGACGGTTGCAGGGGCCCAGGGTCCCGTGATCGAAATTCGGACGCTTGGCAACTGACATGTACCTGTGACGGTTGCAAGGGCCCAGGGGCCCGTGATTGAAATTCGGACGCTTGGCAACTGACATGTACTTGTGACGGTTGCAGGGGCCCATGGTCAAAATTCAGACGCTTGGCAATGGAAATTTTGGACTCAAATTAGTCCAAGGTTCTGCTGGCTGTGTTTCCTGTCTGGACTACCTCGTGAGGCTGGCACTTCTCCATTCCAGCCCGCTGAATCATTTCCGCCCTCGGTCTCGGAGAGCTTTTGAAAGCGAAGCTTCAACCCAAAGGCCCCACTTACTTTTTCCCCGCTTGCTGTTGCCTCTGCTGCTCCTGGATCCCGTCCACAGCTTGGTGGAAGTTAAACACTAAAGAATAGAAAAGAGCCAGTTTGGTACGGTATGGTTGAAGGCACCAGGCTTAAAAGAGTTCTAGTATAGATTTAGGCAGGAAAGACGGCTGGGTGACTTTAGGCCAGTCGCCAGGAGACGGTGAGATCTAGTTCTGCCGTAAGCAGGAAAGGCACTGGGTAATTTTGGGCTAAGCGTCAGGAGAGTGAGTTCTAGTTCTGCCTTAGACATGAAAGCCAGCTGGGTGACTCTGTGCCAATCACCAGGAGATGGTGAGATCTAGTTCTGCCTTAAGCATGAAACTGGCTGGGTGACTTTGGGTCAATCACCAGGAGACAGTGAGTTCTAATCCCATCTTAGGCATGAAAGATACTGGGTAACTGGGCCAATCGCCAGGAGACGGTGAGTTCTAGTCCTGCTTTAGACATGAAAGCAGGCTGGGTGACTTTGAACCAATCACCAGGAGACGGTGAGTTCTAGTCCTGCCTTAGCCACAAAAGCCAGCTAGATGACTCTGGGCCGATCACCAGGCGACTGTGAGTTCTAGTTCTGTCTGAGCTATAAAAGCCAACTGGGTGACTTTGGGCCATTCCTCTTTCTAAGCCCAGCCCACCTCACAAGGTTGTTGTGGTGGGGAAAAGAGGAAAGTGCGTGGGATACATTCGCCACCATGAGTTATTTGTGAAATAATAAAGGCAGGATATCAATAAGTAAATAAATAAGAGATATGGGAAATAACTTGGCCCTCCAAAATTTTCCCCTTTTCTAAGACTTACCCAAGTGGGCGCGATCGGAAATCACGGTCCGGGTTTCCCAGCCTTCCAACCCTGGGGAAGCAAAACGTTTCTTAATATTACAGCCCTGGAAAATGCAATTTATTCCTTCTCCCGCCATCGGCCGTTTCCAATTTCACTCCGATGTTGTAGCCCTCAACGTCAAAACAACAGAGCGACGTCTCCTAATTGGAGGTGGTTTAGATTAAACATCCATTACGATTCCTTTTAGGAACGAAAAGTAGCTTGGATAGTTATGAAATTCAGGAAATAAACCGAGGTTGGGGCTTCAGAAAAGACAGCTCAGAAGCAGCAACTAAAAAAAATCCCACGGTAGACATCAAATCTTGGAGAAGATCAGCTCTCTTTCCCTCAGTGCTTATGAGAATTAGCAATTTCAGGATCGTCCCAGACGTTTTATTTTTTAAAAGAGGAATTAACTGTTCTGGATTTGGGGACATGTGTGTGTGTGTGTGTGTGTCCCAGAACCACAGTCTGGAGGAACAAAAAGCTTAACGGAGTCAGCAGATGTCCTTATGGACTATCATGGTGGACTTCCAAAATGATGTTGATGATGGAAACTAGTCAAGGAGAGAAGCAACCTGGGATTAAGGAGAAACTTCCTAACGGTGAGGACAATTAACCAGTGGAACCGCTTGCCACCAGATGTTGTGGGTGCTTCATCACTGGAGGTTTTTAAGAAGAGAGTGGACAGTCACTTGTCTGAAATAGTACAGGGTCTTCCTGCTCTATTCTGATTGATTGAAGTCCCAAGAAGATGATGCTGGAAATGTTTCTTTGGGGGGGGGATTAAGGCAATTGGTCCAATGCATTTTTATTTCTTTTACTTCCTTTTCTCTTTCCTTCACACCAAACATGCAATGGAGATGGACTCACCTGATCCTCTTTTTAGGTTTTTTTCAGCTTCTTCAAAGAGTCCCGGAAGGTGGATTACAACCCCGTTCCCTGGAATAAGACAGCATATTCATACTGGTGTATTTTCTCTGGGTTTTTTCCCCCCTATAGGTAGTCCTTGATTTGCAACAGTTCATTTAGTGACCGTTCGGAGTTACAACGGCACTGGAAAAAAAGTGACGTAGGACCGTTTGGTCCCGTGATCAAAATTCAGACTCTTGGCAAATGACTCCTATTTATGACAATCGCAGGGATTGGCTTAAGCACTGTGGCAAGGAAGGTCGTAAAATGGCTCAAAATTTACTTAACCATCGTCTCTCTTAGCTACATATCATTGGGGCTCCATTTTGGTCGTAAAGTGAGGACTACCTGTGCGTACACCTGGATGAAACCTCACCAATGAATGAAGTGGCGTTGTGATTTATAACTCCGCTGGGCAATAGGTGGAAATTGTATTCCACCGTGTCCACCACAACAGTGTGTCCTGCATTGTTGCCACCCTGCGGGGAGAAAAAAAACCCAGAGGTATACATAGCTGGTGTCGACAGAGAAAGAGAACGAAAGAGCGCACACAGCTGTGTTTACACAACACGGACCCACACCTGCCAGGCTGCACCCGTACACCGACAAGGAGATCCAAGGACAAAACTTTGGGTTGGGAAGGGACTTTTATTGGACTTGCAGACTTCAATTCCCAGAATTCCTCAGCCAGCCCCCTGCAAAGGATGGGCTTTGCAGTCCCCCCCTAAAGATGCAGAAGATGGGGTTTGTATTCCCCCCATAAGGGAGGGAGAACCCATCTCCCCCCAAGTTACAGGTTCATGAGAAAGCGGGCCCCATGCTGACTATGGAGGATGGGATTTGTATTGCCCCAAAAGGGGGGGACCCCTCCCCAAAGTTACATGTTCTGAGAAAGAAGCCCCCTGGCAGGTTGTGGAGGATGGAATTTGAAGTCCCCAGCTGTAGAGGATAGGATAGGATTTAAGCCCCCCCAATCTGCACAGGTTGGGATTTGTCGTTCCCCCCCAGCTGCAAGGGATGGGGTTTGTAGTTCCCCCAAGCTACGGAGGCTGGGATTTGTAGTTCCCCCAGTTCCAGAGATGGGATTTGTAGTTTCCCAATTTTACGGAGGGTGGGATTTATAGTTTCCCCAGCCGTGGAGGATGGGAGTTGAAGTTTCAACTGCAGAGGATAGGACTCAAGCCCAGCAATCTGCAGAGGGTGGGATCTGCAAGTCTCCCAGACGCGAGGGATGGGATGTGTAGTCCCCAGCTACAAAGGATGGGATTTAAGTCCTCCCAAATCTGCGGAGGGTGGGACTTGTAGTCCCCCAAGTTCATGAGGATGGGAGCTGAAGTCCGCAGCGGAATAGTTAGCCAAGTCCTCCAATCCGGGGAGGGTGGGATTTGTGGTTCCCCCAGCCGCGGGAGATGGGTTTTGTAGTCCCCCCCGGCCCCCAAGAAGCAGAGCAGGCGGCTCACCTGGCACCTGCAGACCAGGTCGGCGTCGAGGCTGAGCAGGTCGACCACCTTCCCTTTGCCCTCGTCGCCCCACTGCGCCCCCAGCACCACCGTCACCCGGTTCCCGGCAGGGGGAGAGTGGGGTGCCGACCCCAACCGGGCCCGCTTCCCGCCCGGCCCTTCGCCGGTCCCGCCATTCAGCAAACCCGCCGCCGCCGCCGCCGCCGAGCCGCCCTCTCCCGCCATGTGCTGCAGGCAAAGCGGCGAGCCCTAACATGGCGCCGCGCGGGCCGGCTTCGGCGCCAGCAGTCAACATGGCGGCGGAGAGAGCGAGCGACCGAGCGCGCGCCTTCCTCCTCCGGATACGGCGCGCGAGAGCAGACATTCCCAATGCGGAGAGGCGGCTTCCGCGTTCGCCTTTCTCCCTTCCCCAGGTAAAAGAGACTGGATTGGAAAGAGGCTGGCTTGTCTCCAGGTGTTGCCTGCCTGGCGCACAGGTGTTTCTGGCGTGGAAAAATTATTAACAATGACGATGACGACGAGAACAAACAAACAAACAAACAAACAGTAATAATAATGGCTGGTGGCACAGTCAGTTTAAACCGGATTTGGCATTTTTCTTAGGGTTGCCAGGTGTCCACTATTTGAGTGGACAGTCCACTTTTTTCACATTATGTTCACTATTTTTTTCACAAAATAGTGGACATTTTTTTTATTCAAAAGCTTTATGATGAAATGGTACGTAATCTAAAGCTGTACAGTCTATTTTTTTTACTACTTAACACCCCCCCCACCGCTTGTCGGCTATTTTTTGGAAGCAGACCTGGCAACCCTAATTTTTCTCCTCTTGGACCTGGGAGAAGCAGAGGCTGGGATGTATGTAGGATGTCAGCCATGCCAAGTCAAGCTGCCTTTTGCAATTGACCGATGGGGATTCAGTCAATGCCGATGTTGTACATGTGATGCTCCAGATGTTTTGGGATTGCACCCAAGGTGCCCGTCACTATTGGTACAGGTAGTTCTCTTAACAACAGTTCATTTAGTGACCATTCAAAGGCACAACGGCACCGGGAAAAGTGAGCGATGAGCGCGTTTCGCCCTTATGACCATTTGTAGCATCCTTGTGGTCATGTGATCCAAAGAGAGATGCTTGACAATGACTCGTATTTATGACGGTTGTGGTGATCCCCTTTTGCGTTCTTCTGATAAGATTCACTTAACAACTATGGCAAGGTGAATTGTAAAATGGGGCAAAATTCACTTAATGTCTCACTTAGTAACAGGAATGTTGGGCTCAATTATAGCCGTTAAGTCAAGGACTAACTGTACTTTGCTTTTGTTTGCTGTCGTCTTTTTACTTTTATTTGGCACGTCTTTGTAGGTTACGATTTTCTCCAGTTCTTCTTCTATTATTAAATGATTATTAAAGAACAACACAGCTCAGGGTTCTTGGGAAGGATTCGATTGGATTAAAAATACCAAATCCAATCTAAACACTTGGCAGACTGTGCAAACACACGCACAAATTCTGTCCTAGAACCACTGAATTTTAAATGCAGCAGGAAGCATTAGCTAAAGTGGCCATGTTTAGAGAAGTCATGAAGGATGGAAAAATAGATGATCTAAAAACTAGAATGCGGCTAGTGGTGTTTAGCAGGAAGCAGTAATTGTTCCATATTATGTCTCAGCTCAGGCAATAACGTGATTTGCTTCATTGTTGTGCAGACCAGCCATCATGGTTTGTAGACATGTTTTTGTTTGCAAACAGTAAGCAAGCTTTTTATTCCGTGGATCGGGTTAAGAAAACAATGGCTTGGTGGTGTGGATGCTCCATAGAGCAATTCATCAACTTTACGATGAGTGGACTTCAATTCCCAGAATTCCCCAGCCAGCATGATGGGGAATTGTGGGAACTGAAGTCTACCTATCTTAAAGTTGCCAGGATGAACGAACAGTATCTAAGATGCTTGTAAGGCATCTTTGCTGTCCTAGCTCCCAAGTGTTATTATATATTCTTCACCTAGGATAAAAGTGAAAAATTATCACGTTTTTAAACCAGCCATATCCTCCACAGGGGGGATTCCCAATAAGCACTACAAAACCAGTGGGACACAGCATATTGGATCGGAAGAGTGATACTGAAAAGGACATAAGATGTATACACATTCCTTAATCCCGTCCCAAATTTTATCCAGCTTATATAAGGCAGACTTTTCAATAAAAGCTCCAGTAATAAAAGCCATCAAGAGCAGAAAGAAATGTAGCTCAGGGTTCAACTAATGAGTCCTTATCGTCGCCTGAGCTTGGCAGGTTTTTTTTGCAGACATTTCATTACCAAGCTCGGTTAACGTCATCAGGGCGTGAGGGAGGTGTGAGTTAACTGGCTGTTTATACCCTCTCCTATGCAGCAATGTTACTCACTCAGGTGGTAAAACTTCAGCAAGAAAACAACCCAGCTCAGAGAACAAGAACCCAATAAATAAGACTATACAGGGGGGTCCTCATTTAGTGACTGTCTTTTAGTCACCATTCAGTTGTAACCTGGATGAAAAACTGCTGTCCATGCACTAACCACCTTTGCTGGTCTGTACAGCAAAAGAAAGCTGAAGTCAGATCATAAGCATTGCCGGTAACAGTTCCACTTAAAGACCAAGTTGTCACTAAATGAGGACTGCCTGTATTCGCGGCCCCACGAGAAGATGGGTTACGGAGAAGCACCAGATGCAAATCCCGCCCTCAAAGGCGGTTCCCTCTTTATCAACGAAACAGGAGGCAGAAGTTCTGAGAGTTACCCACATTCAACTTTATTGAAGAGGAAGGTTTTGGCTAAATCAAAATTTAAACTTCCAGAATGGTTTGGTCTTTGGAGATTGTGTTCCATTGGGGAAGAGGAGGAAGAGGAGGAGCAGAAGGGCCCAAAAGCTTCAAACGGCGACACTGAAGAAGTTAGCAGTGCAACAGAAAAAGCTGGAGTCAAGCGAATGGCTAATTTATTCTAAAAATGGAGGGTTGTTTTTCCCCAACCTACAGATGCCAGAATTGTTAAGAAAGGAAACGTTACAGATGTAAACAACCACACAGTTACATGTTCAATGGCAATCCTCCCCCCCGCCCCCGTATTTTTTATTTTGTTTTATATATTTTTTACTGGCCGCTTAAAACGTTTCACCATTCGTAAAAACATTTTTTTTTCCTTTTTACTGCCTTCGGTTTCGCTTGAGCCTTTGTGTCTACAGCAAACTAAGACATACAATCATGAAAAAACACTAACAGATTTATTTATTTTTTTAAACAGGCTGAATTTTTTAAAGGGTTTTTTTTTGTTTTAAACCGTTTTGACTTTTTTTCTTTTTTTTTTCCGTTCGTGTTTTTTTTTTTTTTTACAAAAAATGTGCAGGAAAAGAAAAGACATCTACTAAAATTGCTAATAACTCTTTCTCTCTCTCTCTTTCTCTCTCTCTCTCTCGGTCTGTTGGTCTAAGGGTGCAGCAGCTTCACTCATCCCAAGTCCAGAAAGCCAGAAATCCCTTTTTTTAAAGGTCCCATCTGGAAAAGACCCTTATTAAAAAAAAACCCACACAACACAGTTTCCTAGGAAGTACAGAAGCTAACTGGGCCCGGCATCTGTTCCCCCTTATCCTGTGATCCAACAGGTATAACCCAGGAACGCTTCCCTGTGATCTCAACAGCTGGCACTCTGCACGTGAGCAAGGAATGCCCACAATCAACTGATCAGAGCCCCCTCCACAATTTCAAACATATGCAAGCGGTCCAGTTACTGAAGTTACTCACAAACACGGATTTCCTTCCCTGTCTCATTCTGGGCAAGTGCACCATTTTTTCTCCAGAAGAATAATTCCCCCTTTCCCCGCCCGGTGGCCTCGAGTATTGAAAATACCGGTTAAATTTAGATATAAAAACAGTTGTCACACAATCACACACATGCACGGAGATAGAATTCTGCCTTTCCTTCCCCTCGTTCGTATCAACTTCCTTTTTAAAACAAAAAAAAAACAACATTAATTTCCCAGGCACCTCACGAAAGCTGGCAGGATTCTGAAATCTGGCCGAAATGCAGAAATAAGCATTTTTGTTTGTTTGTGTGTTGTTGTTTTTTCAAAATGGGGATGGAAATAAAAAGCTGCTTGGAAAGACTGGGAAGAGATTTTGGGAGAAACTATTCTTTAAAAACAAAAACAAAATAAAACAAAACAGCCAACATTTAAAAAGAAAAAAAAAAGGAACAAGAACCCCACCCCCCACCCCCAATTTAAAAAGTTTGAATTTCAAACAGTGAATCACAAGGAACTAATCTTTTAATCCCTGTGGATGGGAATCAGACATAATTAGCCAAGCTGGAGACAAGCAGCGCCAAGAAGCAGAGAAGGGGTATTTACACAATGGGGAGGGGGCATCCAGAGGACATCCAGTGAAAGACTCCCAAACCCTTTGTTCTGTGAGAAGCCAAAAAAGACAAGGTTAATTCAATAAAGGGGGGAAAAAGAGAATAGGGGAAGAGGAAGAGAGGGAAAAAGAGGGAGGATCACTAGCAGAGAGAGAGCGCGAAGCTTTCAAACAAACGCCAAAATTCATTTGCCAAGCCAGAAACAAGAGACATCCATCCCACCCACCCCTCAACGCAGACCTTCTCCCCTTCCCCACGTTATGTACAGAGGCCGATCCGTTTATCAAAACCACAACCACCACAGGATGATGGGCTCTCCCTCTCCCACCCCCGAACCTGCACTTGACAAGTTTTATTCTTTTTTTAAAAAAAAAAGAAAAGAAAGAAAGCAAAATTTCAATGCTCCACATTAAAGCTACTTGGAAGCTGAAAACTGCCCTGCTAGCACAGATTTTTCCCTATATACATGTCAGGTGCTAACAGCCAGAAGACCTGGCAGAAACCCTGAGAGGTTTTTAAAGTTCCTTTCATTCCAGGCAAAAAAAAAAACCCAACTAAAAAATAAAAAATAGGAGAAGAGGAGGACGTAGATTCTATATATAGAGATGATCGAAAAGGGGGCCGGCTAAGTCTCGGGAGAGGAGAGGAAAGACAGCAATGGGCTTCAAACAGGGGCAAGGGGCTGGCTTGGTGGTACCTCAAGAGGGATGGTGCTTGAAATGTCGATGGGAGGGACGGCATGGGAAGTTGGCCTCCAGCCTGTGGCACCCAACATCTAACAGGCTACCCGGCAATTCACTGTCTGAAAATGCAGGCTGGATTTTAAACAAGGTGGAGAGGA